ATCATGGTGAAGCAAAGAAAGGCAGCAGAGAGCAAGCGAGCTACCTGACTTGCTATGTATCTGTTTGCTAGCAGCATCTCATCGGTCAACCCTGTGTCCATGCTGAATTGCCGTCTCGTAACACAGCCAAAGTAGCAAGAATTGACAACACTTTGGATGGAAAGTACATTTCTGAGATCCTCAAACTCGACCTCGGAGCAGAATCAACTAACTGAAAACAACAACAGGACTACTCGCCTCGCTGACATACTTCACAGGAGCAGCAACATGTAACGGACGCACGTACTGTGCTCCCTCTCTCCCTCCCTCCCTCCCTCCCTCCCTCCCTCCCTCCCTCCCTCCCTCCCTCCCTCCCTCCCTCCCTCCCTCCCTCCCTCCTCCTCCTCCTCCTCCTCCTTCTCTCTCTACCTGGTCGCTCCTGCGCCGACCGAAGGAGTCCTGCTGCATCCTACTCGTCACATGGAACCGTAGCCCGGCGGCCCGACAGAAGGCGGGTAGGTTTTGAAGGCCTGGAACGAGGCGGGGAAATGGACGATGGTAGGGAGAGGGAGGAGGGAGGAGGGAGCTGAGGGGTGTGTGTGTGTGGAGGATGGAGCAGGAGAAGAGGCCCGGGAGGGCGAAGAAGATCTGGTACAGGCTGTACGATGGCGAAACAGGAAGACTGCTGGAAGGGGAGGAGGCGCTGACTACCGAGGGGTACACCAACACCTACAATCAGCACACTGGAAGGATTCCGCGGATAGAGGCGAACAGGCGGTACGAAGTGGCTGATGACGGGAGGAGGCTGGACTTCCCTGCAGGCAAGGGAGGATACAACTTCATGCTCGAGCCCCGCTACCAGGAGCACAGCCCTCGCACCATCCACAAGGTGCTGCAGCGCTCCGAAAGGACGTCCTCACTGATGAGCGAAGACTTGGAGGAGGACAAGGTGGTGGTCTACGAGGGAGAAACCAAGTTCTGTCAGGATGGACAGGAGAAGAGGCACGGGAAGGGAACGCTCAAGGTCAAGAGCACAGGTAGCATCGTCTACCGTGGCGACTGGCTCTACAACGAGCAGCATGGCAAGGGCGAGCACCGCTGGGAGGACGGGTCGGTCTACAACGGGGCTTGGGTACATGGCAAGATGCAGGGGCAGGGGAGCTACCGGTGGAAGGATGGGACCAAGTACAACGGAGAGTTCTATGATGGCGTCAGACATGGTTGGGGGATCCAACTATGGCCCAAGGAGACGAGCGAAGCGAAGATCGAGTACGAAGGTCGGTGGGTGCGTGGAGAGGAGAGGGGAGGAGAGGGGTGGGGAGGGGAGGGGAGGGGAGGGGAGGACATGGAGTAATAGCAACGATCGGGGTATGAGGAATTTTGCAGTGAAGGGGGGGAGGGCGAGGGCTGACAGTAATGGTAGGATCGTGGGTGAACGACAGGCGGCAAGGGAAGGGGAGGCTGAGATACCCAGACGGGAGGATGTACGACGGGGAGTGGAAGGATGGAGACATCTGCGGAGAAGGCACCCTTCACTATGCCAACGGTTGGACGTACGAGGGAGAGTTTCTCTCCGGGTTCAAGCACGGTCATGGGATCAGGACCGAGTGGTACGGGGGCGCTGGAGGAGAGGAGGGGATGCGGTACGCGGTGTGCTACACGTACAACACGATGCAGGAGAAGGAGAGCCTCGGGCCCTGTAGGAAGGATGAAGGTGAGAAAAAGATTGAGCGAGGAGGGGTCAGTTTGAACTTTCCTTGCAGGAAACCTGCCGGCCCCTGGGGCCATGTACAAGAAGTACGTGACAGACAAGAGATTGAATGAGAGGAAGATGAGGGCAGCAGAGAAAACATCCGACGAAGCGCTCTCGGTCTGTGAACGAGAGAAGATGTTTCAAACATCAAGGCAAACTCTGATGTTGTTTGCAGACAAGTTCACATGACAATCATACTCTCAGAAATTCTCCTCCAAACTCACCTCCTTTCTCTCCGACTGATCACATCATGGACAAGCATATTGGAGGGATCAGCACCGCAAAGTCAGGAAACTGGACATTAGGGAATATCAGTTTGATAGACGATGAAACCGAATGACGCTTTTAAGAAATAAGTAAGAGATAAAGTAACATGTGAAACAAACAAGTGAAAGAATCAAGCTAAAGAATGAAGTGCACGAATATAGTGTATGAATCCATTATATCCGTCGTTACAGCTCTTGTGCAAGTTTCCTCTGCCGCTGCAGCCTGGAGGAGCGAGTCATGAAACTCAACCAGCAGCAGCAGGAGAAGGATCTTCACTCACTCTGCATCGATGCTGTCTTGTATGGTCCGGACTGACTTGTCTACGTTTGCTGCGCACCTCCCCTCCCCTCCTGCGAATCACATCACTGGGTACCTACAAGACCAGCTCTCACCGTAGTCTCTCTGCTCCTTCCTCCCACGGAGGCAACGCGAGAGTTTCTTCCGGATCTCTCCCTTCAGCTCCCACCAGTAGGAGAACACTTCTTTCCTCAGCTCCACGAGGTTCTCCTCAGACTCCAGCAGGACAGGCCCGAGGTCTCGAGAGAAGTTGCTGATGTAGGGGAAGGGATGCCCGGGGTAGATATGCTCGAACGCTATCGAAGACTCCAGCACGGGGATCGAACCGGCCTCGAGCGCCTCCGACACCCTGTAAGTCTCCACGTTGCCTCCTCCTGGGCACAGCGTGAAGTCCGACCTCAGCAGCAAGTCCCTGTAGGATCGCGTCGCCATCCCCCTGCTGAAGTCGTTCCACATCGTCGTCAGGTTCATGTGGGCGTCCCTGCTGAAGTCAGCTCCGAGGGAGTCGATCGCTTCCATCATGTCGAGCCGCGATTCGCTCGAGTACACGTTCCCCACAAAGTTCCACCGGAACTTCCTCCTGCCCCTGCCCCTTCCGTGATCCTGGGCCTCCTCCTCCTCCATCATCTCCATCATCCAGTCCCTCCGCTGCCCCACATGCTTCTCCTCCTGGTCCCAGTACCCTGACTTGTACCCCAGGGGGATGAAGGTCACGTGGGAGTGGGCGAGCTGGGACGGGAAGAAGTAGTTCTTGAACAGGTAGTCGCTCTCTTCATACAGGAAGGACGGAGCTTGCGCGTACTCGTCTCCCAGCAGCATCAGCCCCAGCCGGCCTCCCATCGACCTGACCTCGCACACGTACCTCCCCACCTCCTCCCAGTGACCAGCACGTTGGGGCCAGATGGAGTCGAGCACCTGAGTCAAGGATTCAGTAAGAAAGGGGAGGGGCAGGCGAGGGCCCTACGAGCAGGGAGCTCTTGGAGTAGACGTGCGGGTGCTTGCAAGCCCGTGATGTCGTGACCCTCAGGACCTTCACCGACAGGCGTCAGAACTTCTCTCCTCCTCTCCATCGCTGCTGACCCAAAGTCCTTCCAGCAGCTCGTCCACCCAGTCTTGCGAGAAGTGGCCCTCCACCCCAGCATCCTTGACGGGCCAGGCGAACCGCACGACCACAGTACCGTCTCCTGGTCGGATGCATTCCGCAGGGTCGACCTTATCAGTTTCGCCGGACGACGACACAAGGAAGTTCGATCTTGATCGAGCCGCTACTAGACTTGAAGATACTACTTCCAACTCGAGCTCTTGCTCGCCGGGACACAGGTGGGACGAGATATCCACAGAGGGGAAATGAAGGAGCGTGCTGGTCATGACTGCATCCCCATTTAAGATGATCCTCAGAGCCATCTCCTCTGAACTCGCGCCGCACCCGGAAACTCGCCACGTCCTATAAACGGTAGTGAGCGCATTCTTGCACTGTGATTCAAAGCATCAACTTACAGTGGAATGATCGTCCCATACAGGAACAGGCTGCCAGCTGACGGTGAGGTAATCACAACCGAGCATCCTTCCTCTAGAACTCCTCCATGGGACTTACTCGTCCCTGTCTTGAATACCGATAACATCACGAACAACAAGATCAAAACTCTTGTCCTCCTCTTTGTACTTGTCTTTGTCCTGATCATCCTTGCAGTTCTCGTCTTCTTGGACACTGCCCCCCCCCTCCCTCCTCACCCTTCGTCGTCGCCCCTTCGTCCTGAAATTCCACCTCGCGCATTTTTCTATTTTTCTCCCCGATAGAAATTTACCCTCATCCCCCCATAGACCAGCAGCCCTCATCCCGCCCATACGTCGCCCTCATCCCCGATCAGCCCTTGAGGCGACCCTTCGCGCTATGTCGCAAGAGGGAGGGGGAGGGAGCGGGCAATGGCTCAAGGATGCGGAGGCCTGGGTGGAAGACAAGCGGCTGAAGCCATCGACCTTTGCTGCAGAGTTCATCGGTTCCTTTCTCTTTCAGTTCTTGGGGGGTTCTGCCGCTTCCAATGCGGTGGATGCAGGGCTCACGACAGCGGCCCTCGGCAATGGTGCGGCCCTGGCGCTGCTCGTGTATTCGATGGCAGGCATCAGTGGAGCGCATCTTAACCCGGCCGTATCTACTGCCATGCTCGTCATCGGTGAAGATGACATGAGCATCCCGAAGTGGGGAATCTACGTTAGCATGCAGCTCTTCGGCGCTCTGATGGGGGCTGTGTTCCTGCGGTACCTGTGCCCGGACACGGCGGTGGTCCGAAACCCTTTTGTCACGCAGGGAATTCTCAACGAGGGAGTGAGCAGGAACTTGGCGGGGCTGGGGATCTTCGAATTTGTCATGACCTTCACTCTCGTGTTCGTGATCTGTGCGGTGGCTCTGGACATGAAGTCAGGGGCCAGGCAGTATGGGCCACTGGCTGTTGGCTTCGTCTATGCAGCCGGCGTCTACTGTGAGGGGCCGTACACTGGGGGAAGCATGAATCCAGCAAGAACTATCGCAGCTGCTATAGTGTATGCCAATTTCACGGGCATGTGGATTTCAATCATCTGTGTGATGATCGGAGGCGTAGCAGGTGCATTCTGCTACAAGCACTTGCTCAGGATAGAACATAACCCTGCAAATTCACGCGACTTCTCTGCATCGCGTTACGTTTAACAGATCATTCCGATGAGGTGCTTAGAACATGTAATGAAATATTGTTGTCTTGCCCGAAGTGCCGACAACTCAGCACGCACACGGCCATTATTAATCACAAGCCTTGTCATTGCCAAAATTCCTTGGGAAGCGCAACAGGAGAGCATCTCGAAAGGTTCATGCCAATTATCATATTGTACTATCTTTTGGAAACATCTTAGCGAAACTTGCTCATTATGTACAATTACACTCATGTTGCACACATGGAAACATCTCTGGTCAACCTCACAACGAGACGAAAGAATAACAAAATCATCCTCATCCGACAACATGGAACCACTTTCGTAATTTCACTCCTCCTGCATGCCCTCCTTGAAGTATCCAAATTGACTTGGCCCGAAAACATTCCGTGTCGTCATACAGGAGCAGAGCCCTCGAGGTCCTGACGATGCTCACCTTTCTTATTCCGCCCCTGCGATCGACGCTTGACCTGGATCTGAAGTAAAGTCGTCAGTCTTCCCCTCCTCTTGCCATGTCCGTCCTACCTCGTCCTCTAGATACTTCACCAGCGAGTCCTTGGCGAAAGGACTTTGTCTGGCAACATCAGCTGCTGTCTGCGAGTGAAGAGTGAGCCGTCATGACTAAGTGATCGGAGACGGCGAGAGATCTCTCCTTGAGCCCCTCAGGCTCTTCCAGCATGCGGGACGTCTGACCTGTTTCTGAGAGTTTCTTGCTTCGGGGTCTTGAAACTTGATTCCCTTCTTGATTGCAGCCTGCGTGCAAGGAGGCAAGGTTCGAATCAGAAGCGTCTCTGACGCCCTCCTCCTCCTACCTGGCAGAGCTTGTAGGAACCGGCTTCAGCAGCGATGTGCAGGGGGGTCCATCCCTCTCCCCTCGCTTGGGCCGCCTGTAGCTGTGTAAACAGTGGGATAGGCGAGAGAAGGATAAAGACCTTCGCGAGAAAGTTCAAATCGAGGCCTTGCTCAGCAAGCTCGTCGAGAATCTCTTGATTCTGATCGCATACGTTCAACCATGGCGTCGACAGGATTCAAAACATGGACATCTTACCTTCCGTCGGAGAGCAAAATCGAGAACCGATTTGCCTATGTCATTCAATTCAATCGGAAAGCCACAAGCTCGATGTTGGAATGTCAAGACCTGAAGCTGTCGTTGCGTTCACATCGGCCTTGCACTGCGTGAGAAGCTTTACGAGCTGGAGCCAACAAGTCTCTTCATGTTTCCGACAACCGTCAATTTCTCAATCACCTGTGCTGGCCCGTGCAATGTGGCATCGTGTAGGACCGTCGTACCGTCAGCACATGCATCTCGTACCTGCCAGCACACCAGCTCAGCAGGTTCCGGGATCACACTACATACATCACCCTCGATCCTGCCTTGATCAGCGCTTTCGCGCTGTTGAGATCCCCCGAGCGAACAGAGAAGTTCAAAGCACTCTCCCCTTTCTCATGTCAGCGCAGGAGCTCTCTGCAGAAAACGCTCCTACCTCGTACGTTGGCGGCCAGCACGTCTGCTTTGTTCTCAATCAGCAACTTGACAGCACTCCACGACTGACTCGACGCGGCAGCATGCAGCGCTGTCTCCCCTCGTTGATTGCGCGCGTTCACGTTCGCGGCATTTTGCAGCAACACCTTCATGACCTGCCGACTCGCTCATCACATCGAGCGCGAGGCTTCCGTTCACCCCCTCCCTTCCTCCCATTCAACTTCACTCACCTCCACTTGCCCATGCTCACTGGCCCAATGCAGGGGCAGGTCCCCAGTAGGATCCACCGAGTTTACGTCCGCCATGGCGTCAAGTAGCGCCTTCGCTACAGCAGGGGAAGAAGCCCAGTGCAACGGAGTTTCCCCCCATTGGTCTCTGCTCGTGACTGCTTCCTGCTTCAAGGCTTCTCGGACCTCGTCTAGTTTCCCCAGCTTCGCTACCTCATGCAGTCTCTTCGCAGAGCTCCCACTCATCGTTGAGGCTGACGGCTTCCTCTTAGCTTGACACAGGCGGCTTCCCCATGAACGAGATCTCTTCTAGTCTATCATGCATTCGGTTCTGCTCACCCCTTGCCCATTTCGTACTGCCTGTATCATGTCATTGCGTCTCGTCGTCCAACTCTTAGATAGTCCCTACCTCCTCCCCTCCTCCTGCTCTCCTGCTCTCCTGCTCTCCTGCTCTCCTGCTCTCCTGCTCTCCTGCTCTCCTCCTCCCCTCCTCCCCTCCTCCCCTCCTCCTCTCCTCTCCTGCCTCCGACTCACCCATAGCACCCTCATCATTTTGCGGATGGTTTCCGAATCCTTGCCACCTGCTAACCACCTTTCTGCCCTTGCCCCTACCCCTGCCCTTCTCTAATCTTCTTCTAATCACAATGGCATACCCCCTTAACTCTGCTATTTTATGTACCCCACCTCCTCAAAACCCCTCTACTACCCCCACCCTATAACCCGCTGACTCGCGCAATGCCGCACCGCGCGAAGCGGCTTCTGTGGTGTACGCCATGCAACAATCCCCGCCCGCCGTCCTCCTCCCTCATGTCCCTCCTCGCTCCTCTCCGAAACTCTCTCCTACTCCTGCTGATCATCCTTCCCCTCTGCGCTTCCGTACCATCAACGGACGAAAGGTTTCTACCTGAGCGAGGGAGGCAAGACATGCCGTCTTCAGGGGGGGGCAGCGCAAGCACCAAAGGAGGCTCAAAGAACAAGTTGGAGGATGGTGAAGTGCCCAAATATGCGTTCCCCAAGTCCATGAACGACTTCTACAAGGGTGAGAATGCATTCCACAGCGTCGCGCTCGAATTCGTCTTAGTTTGCATGTTTCTCCCATCTTTGTGCTTGTCCTCTTTCCACCGAGCAATGCATCGGATGCATCTGAGTTCTCATCGTTTCAGGGAAATGGCATCTGACAAACGGCACTGGGAAGGCAAATCTGAAGCACACTTCAGGGCATGTTGTGTTCCAGGTCTTCATTGTTCGGTGAAGAAGTGTGCTTGCATCTGTAACGTTCACTTGATAGATCATAACGCGCGCTCATGGCCGCGAGATCAAGAGGATCAGACCCACCGCAAGCTCAGCTGAGAAGGGCGCGAACTCCACATCCATGCCTGAGCAGGAAGCGACAGGGGGAGGGAAGAGTAACCTAGTTCTGGGGGACGGTATCGTCAGCCAGGGTGTAGTGATTGGTTCCGCGAGGAATGAGAGCTCAGCCAAGGATGGAGGGAAAGGAGCGAAAGAAATTGTGCTGGTAGAGGAGGTCGACATGATTCAGGTTGGTGGTGGCCTCGAACCTCATGCTCCTTCAACGTGATCCGATGTGGCTTCCAGGTGGACATGGTAATTCGCGATGGGCAATACAGCACTTCGCGTGACCTGCACACGTACATGCAGGGTTTGTACAGGAAGGGATCGGGGAGATTGTGAGTCCTGTATCTCCGATCCTGACAGTCTGTTCACTCGTCTTTGTTTGCAGACAACTTTGGACAGTGTGCAATTCCCCGGAGTGTGGGATGTACATGTTTGGAGGGTGGAAGGACGGAGCTCAACCCCCTCTCTTGGGCCCTGGGTTTGATGGTGAAGTCAATCGCATCTTCCTGTGCATGGCTGATGTCTCATCGCAGGATCGCAGAACAGATCAGACACATCACTCAACTTGATTCAGCAAGAAAGGCAACCACGCCCCTACAGGCCCAGCATGGGTAGGAATCAGCGTGGAAAGTGCATCTTCAGGGTCAGCTTGCAGGTGGGAGCAAGGGAGAAGTTCCTGCTGCTCTGTATTCGTCGTGTGCTCGTTCCTCACCTGCTATGCTCGCAGACTGTGAAGAGGCCTACGATTCAAGACGATGACAAGCCTTTGCCTCCCATCATTCTGTTCGGCAACATCACGAGCGCCAACTGTGGGATTAACATGACTATGAATGCAACTTCCATGAATTTTGAGGTTTGGCCGATTGATCTCGGACTGTTCCAAGGGATCTCACGCAGGGAGCAGGTGTACTACTCCAAGGCGATGCACTACACCCTCATGGTGACAGCAGCCTCGTTCATGCAAGTCTTGCTTCTTGTTCGTCAGATCGAGTACTCCAACTCAAGGACAAGCGCCATCAAAGTCTCCCTGCTGACTATCGGACAGCAGGTGCTGGAATGGTTGGTATCCTCAAGTTGGCTCTGACGATGCTGAGTGCTCAGGCGATCATGGATTCATACTTATGTTTGATGCACTTGACAACGGGGATCGTGGTAGAGGCCCTGTTCAACGCCTTTGCGACAGCAGCGTTCTTCAAATTCATGATCTTCTCCATCTTCGAAATGAGATATTTGCTCATCATCTGGAAAGCGCGTCGTCCTCACGGCTTCCAAGAGGGGTGGAATAGCATGCGGCGAGAGCTCTCGATGCTTTACTCAAGGTTCTATGGCTGCCTCCTCGCAGGGATAGTATTGATCTACCAGGTTTGCCAGTTGACAAGACACGTAGACTTATGACAATCTGTTGTCCCTTTAGATGCAGAGATACACGGGAGCGCTTGTGCTGCTGATCTACAGCTTTTGGGTCCCTCAGATCATTCATTCGATCCATCATGATCATAGAAAACCTCTTCTGTTGAGGTGACTGACTGTGATGGCAAGGCTGACGCAGCAAGTTCACTCGTTTCTCTCCATTGCAGGTACATCATTGGGATCTCTTGTACCAGGCTTCTCATCCCCCTGTACGCCTTCGCCTGCCCCTACAACTTCCTTCACTCCGAGCCAAATTATTCCCTAGCCTTTGCTCTCGTCGCTTGGGTTGGTTTCCAGGTACAGCAACGCGCTCCTCCTCCCTTTCCTTGCCTCCCATCCCTATCTCGCTGTCCTTGAAACGTTAACGACAGGTTGCTGTCCTGGTCGTCCAGCACTACAAGGGGCCTCGTTTCTTCATCCCTCGCATCTTCAGACCCGAGAAGTACGACTACTACAGGAGAATACCGATGGAATCACCTTCGGTCAGTATAGACTCCCCTTCCTTCTTCTCCTCGCTCTCTATCTTCTCACCTCTGTGCTCCTCTCCCAAGTGCGCCTCTCACCACCCGCTCTAGCCCTACTTCTTCCTCCTTCTTGCTCCCTTCCTCACGCAATCTTCCAGGAATCGCAAGATTGCGCCATTTGCATGATGTCAGTGGGCGGCAGTCACGACACGAGCCCGAGGGTCGTCACACCCTGTGACCATGTCTTCCATCAGGACTGTCTCAAGAGGTGGATGGAGATCAAGTTGGAGTGCCCTGTCTGCAGGAGGACTGTTCCGGACATTGACGACGACTGAGAGGGTGACAGAGTGTGAGATGGGCATGTGTAACTTTACCATCATGTGTATTCTTTTGATTTTTGGGGCCAATTTTGCGAACGTGTAAGCTAACATGTAGATAAACAAGGATCACTTGTTCGCATCACGATTTCCTCGCTCTCTTGCTGCTCCCGGCTTCCCCATCCTCTTCTGTGGTCCTCTTGCGAGAAGGAGCGGCGTCCCTGTACAAAGGCATCAGCAGGAGGCTCCTCTAGCCAACTATGGCATACATGATCTCGATATCGTCATCATCGTCCTCCGCTGCTCCTGTGTCACCGCTCGGCTCCGCTCCACCCTGCTGATCCCCGTTTGGAGCAGCAGCCTCGGCCTTGTGCGAAACCTCGTAGGGACGCTCGCCCTCAGGGTCGAGCTCCTCGCTGAGAAAGAGTGAGTGTAGAGAGAACAAGAGGATGGAGCACCTGTGAACGATCAAAACCTTCATGCTTGTGTTGCCCTGCGTCTCATCCTCGATGGAAAGAATCATCTGATCGCTGATGCCAATGCTTGGATCCGTCAAGGGCAGTTTGAGCCTCTTCTCCATGGCCACTTTGTCCGCCTCAGTCTCAAAGTTGGACAGGCACTCGAAGAAGTTGGCTCCTGTGTCGACGAGAGGCTCGTTCAGTCCCAACTCTTGCTTCAAGATCCTCGTCAAGAAGAAGTTGAAGGTCGTCTTCTCCACGTTCAGCTTCAGCGACACCGTGCCTCCGCTGCAAACCGTACACGCACGGTTCGGCAAGTCGAGGTTCGAGGGGATCAAAATGTACCTCTTCCTCCCGCTCGGCTCTCTGTTCTTCATGATCGCCCTACAATCCCCAAGTCTTCCCTCTAGCACCTTAACGGCCTCCAGCACCATGGCTCCAGAGATGATCGCGTTGGTTGTGGCAATGGCGGGGATGATGTTCCCAGCAATCTCCTTGCACCGGAACCTGGTCTGCATGTCGATCGCGAAGACATGAGCCCTGAGGTTGCTGGCAGCCAAGACGAAGTTCATGATGACATCATCATCTTTGTCCCATTCCATCACACCCTCCTCCTTCGCCCTCGCTTGCAATTCCACATAGCTCTCCTTGAACAGCGCGATTGTTTCCTCCAATGACAGCACCGTGGTCTCGGCAACCTCAGACCCCCTGTTCGCCTGCTCCTGCGTCGCAACGAGTGTGAGAGGAGTTGGAGGCTTCCTGCTCTCCCACAGCTCCGCCATCCCGATCAGCTTGTTGATCTCCTCTACGAAGACTTTCTCCAGTACCTGATGCGAGTCCAGCTCGGCGCTGATGCCCTGCACGACCTCATCGGTGTCATCCTTCGGTCCGAACAGCATGTTGAAGAGGTGCTTCCCCCACACGATGCAGTGAACCGGCTTGTCCGGTGTGGACCGGATGGTGCAGACCGGAAACCCCTTGGGAGCGGGCTTCGGCTCGCAGTCGTAGCATGCGCTAACACCCTTCTTGATGGTTACCACTTGTCCATCGTACCCTTGCGTTCCTCCGTCGATCAAGATCTTTTCCTGGTGGACACAGATCCTGCTCACGTGCCTGCGGGCCTCCAAGTTGTCCAGAGCATTGAAGATGATGTCGAATCCGTCCATGTAACTCGGTCCGAACCGCTTCTCCTTGATGTTCCCATGGTGAGCGATGATGTCCACGTCGGGATTGAACCTCTTCACGACCTCAGCAGCGACGTTCGCCTTGCTTTTCTTCACGTGCTCCTTCCTGAACAAGAACTGCCTGTTCAGGTTGCTCACGTCGATAGTATCCAAGTCCACCACCTCGATCTTCTTGAAGCCTGACAGCACGAGGACTTTGAGGAGCTCACAACCGATCCCACCAGCTCCCACCACCAAGACCTTTGCTTCATGCAGCCTCTTCATCGCCTCTGCTCCTCCTCCCATGGCCTCCATGGCCTTGCGCAAATGTTCCTCCCTTCCCGCCATGGCTGATCCTTCGATTCCCCGTGCTCTGTCGATCATGGGGGTCATTTGAACTACCCTAATTATTCCACAGGAACTGTCATCGTGACGTGGTAGGGTGTATGACCCCACCCCCTTCCCCTCTTTCCCAGAGTTCCTGGTTCAACCAGCCAACCTCATCGCCCCCACACACAACAGAGAAACTGTCCCTCATCCCCTCCCTGACCCAACATGAAATCCTTCCTTTCATCCCCCTCATACATATTATGAATATATGGAGCTTATTATAAGATTATGAAGAAGTGTTATAATCTTGGTACCCCTTCCCCGCTCATGTCCAAGTTTCCCGAAATAGCTCCGATACCCCACCCCCATTTCATTATTCATGGACCCTCGAATATTACATAGACTAGTAGAACTGCTCGAATGGATCAACGGGGGTATGAAATCGCATTACCCCTCCTGGGACCATACGAAATCGGACATAGGACCTGGTACTAGAGTCCCTTGAGCTACACCCCTACCCCTACTTCTCTTTAAGTTATTATTGTACATAGTGGTAGGGGTCCTCACTTCTATTTCCGGAACCACTGCAGATGTAGGTGGTACGTAGGGTGATACTAGAAAGGGTACTTTGTAGGGGAATACGGGGGTAATACGGGGGTAATAAGGTTGATGGAAAGGGCAGGGGTATGTGAAACACTACACTGTCTGAAATGGGTTGGTGGGTGGTATTTCAAGTATGGTACAGGGAACACACGATCTGGGAAACTTAGGGTACTTTACTATAGGATGATGGGGGTAGTGATGTTGATATTATACGAATGGGTAGGTGTAGTAAGTGTCAAAAGGAGGGTAGGGGGGTAGTTGGAAGGAAGTGGTATAAAAAGCAAGAGGAACGAAGGGTCAACCATAACGAGGTGAGACATGTGAAGGGGCATGGCAGTTCAGACAAGCATTTGTATGCCCGAATATGCTGCGCAATGAAAGAAACACAAGGAATCAACTTTGTGGATTCTTTCGTTGAATGTGACATGTGTTCATTTTGATTTTCTTGTATCCAAATCCATGTTTCATGTTTCTGATCTAGTTTATCAGATGTTCTCCCTTCTCTTCGACCTTGAGGATTACGCCACCACCTACCGCGCCACCCGCGATGCCTACTTGAAGGCTGCCAACGAGCTCAAGCTCGCCACCGGCCCCTACAAGGCTGCCCGTGACGCCTACGTTGCGGCCACCGCCACCTACACCAAGTCCCTCTACGAGTAAACTGGTCCAAGGGAGAGTTAATAAAACATTTAAAAAGACATCTCAAAGTGTGTTGTTCTGTTTTCGTTTCACATCCAGCTTGCAAACCGTGTGTTGATCATCAAAATAGTACGTACTCCATTCCGGCATTCATGTCATATTTTTACTGTCTAGAAACAGAATATGTTCTGGATTTCCACTCGTTGATCAACCCCATGTCATGTGCGGAGGAGGAGGCCCGGGATTCAAGCTTGGATGTAGCTGTGCGAGTGTGAGCCTGGAACATTTGTTTGGCATACAAACATCACCTCCCTCGATCGCGTGTCTACTGTCGAAATTCCAGAAGGTTTCTGCTGACATGGTGAGAAGGACAGGAAGAGGGGCGACTGACGAGTTCAGACCTTCTCGTCCATGGATGGATTGCAATATTCGTACAGTGCCCCCGTGATGATGTTAAACTTCTGTGGTTGAAGAGCGAAGTCAGCGATGAATCCTTACCACCTGCTCATTCACCTTGCCATTCGTCTCTCTGTTCCTCAAGTTTTGTGTCCGATCACTGAACTTCACTTCCGGCTGGTTCATCGAGTAGTCTATCCCCGCATCTTCACGGTGAAGCAGCGTCACGTCCAGAGGCGTCAAGAATACAGGAGAGCACAAACCTTGAAACACCCGCGAGTAGGTGTTGGTCGGGTTGACAAGCTCCCTCACCTCGCTAGGGATCCGCTTCTTCGTTGCCCACAACCTCCGTTCGAGACCTGCGCGAGCAGGTGAATGAGAGGAGACGAGAATGGAGGCGCTGAGTACCGGGAGGAGGCTGCACGTTGGGGTCAACCTCTGTCATGAAGTCATATCCGAGGTGAGGCGCACTGTAGCTGTTGGACTGATGAGTAGGAGACAGAGCTTGCGAGTATGTGACAGATGCACCTGTTCTGCACCAGCCACTCCTGCCTCTGGGACCTCTTCAGATCACGTTGCTCTCGTTTTGAGTTAGCAGCTGGGAGGTTGTTACTGAGAGCGCAGAGTAGTTTCCTCCTCGAACTTACCCATCCTGTCTGCCGCGTACACGATGGTATCAGGACAGTCTGCAGACTCAACCCCGATAACCTGCAGCCAACCTCAACCCAAGGAGGGCAAACATTTCAAGCTTACTCCTGACGGGAAGCGCTTTTGCATCAGAGCAATAAGACGCATTTGTTTGTGCCTGTTCCATGGAAGAGTGAGACAAGGGAGGGGAGTATTGAAGGCGATCACTTGTCTTTTGCCTTGATGATATCAGCCATCCTCTTCTGCTTCTCGTACTGCAAGATAGACTCCCTCTCCTGCACCTCTATCAACCCTTGGGACTGCCATACACAAGCGGGTGGCCACCTTGGCAGTGAGCAGCCCCTCCTGCTTGTACCACGCGTCCGGAGGAAGAACAGTTTTGGCAGGCGGAACCTGTCGCGAGATGAGGAGGAGCGGCAGAGGCAGCAAGTCCAGTATCTTGCCTTCACTTTGAAGAACTCGAACCTCTCAGGTTGCACCATGAGCGCCGCGTCACCCTGAACTTCGGCCTGCAATGTCGCAGATCGCTTCAGCCAGATCCTGCTTTCCCTGAAACCACTTTGTGACCTGAGCGTCTTGACCCTTTGGATCCTTTGCTACAGCCTTGTACTCCAGTTTCCCTGTCAACTCAGCCCTGCACAACAAGTCAGACACTTCAAGTTCACGAGCACGAGCTCTTCAGGAAGTCAGGTTTCACCTTATCCTGTTCACGTGGTTCGCCATGTCGCTAGCACAGACTGAAGGCGCCCATCGCGACAACGTACCGACCGGCTCAGGCTCCTGCGCAGAATGAGGAGGATGGACCAACGAACAACAGGGGAGACCGGATCTTCAAGGATAATCGTACGAGGTTCCTCCCACGGCGCGAGCCTTGTGGTGTGGAAGCCTCCTGTCGTCCCAAACCCTCCCCCGGTTCCGAAACCTCCTCCTGATCCTCCTCCTGCCGTTGCTGAAGGTCTGAACTCCGGTGGGGAAATGATCTTTGGGCCAGAAGCAGGTGCTAACCAGCAGTGTCACAACGAAGTGATGAGGAACGGGGCAGGCAAACACACCCATCATGTCGTGATGGTCCATAAAAGCTGAAAGAGCATCCGGGCGAGGCGCGGTTGTAACTCTGGAATGCGCCAATCTCGCGCTTCTCCTCATCTTTGATTGGGTTGTTACAGAACAGGGGCTTGATCTCTTAGAGTGTCACAAGAGTCTTCTAATTAGCATTTTGAAACTGCAAATGTAGAGTAAATACTGAAGAATGCTGCATTGTTCAAGATTCATTCTCAGATACACCAAACATGAAAGAAACTTGCTCCTTTGAAAAACATTCCACTTACTTCGTCAACTTGCTGCACTTTCCATTTACATGAAAATGCACAGTGTTCGCGGACAAGTTTAAAACTTTTTCTAGTCTTTGATTCATCAGGATTGTCGACTCGGGTATCACAAACTCTCTCCACCATGCCTGAACCATCCTAAATCATCGGCTCCTCTTTCTCAACAGTTCTGCAGGCCTGTATGCAGAACTTTCCATATCCTCGTCTCCAACACCGCTGTTTCTTCTCTCGCATCTATCATACTATCGTGTTTCGTCTCTTCGTCTGTCTTCGTCTCTTCTCTCATCATTTTCCCTCCTCCTCGTTGGCTGCCCCAAAGGTTACAAGGTGCCCAGCATGGCGAAACCGTTGGTAGTAACCCTCTTCCCCTCTCAGCCCACAGTTGTCCCGGTGCCCGGCCTTGGGCCCGGCAGGGCCCTGGGCCGCTTATCTGTTTCTCAGTGTTATGCGCTTCCTTTGACGAGGACTCATAACCTTCTACTCCCCCAACGGGAACTTCGACTACCCCCTACCCCACCCAATATGAATGTACCCTATCAGATACACAATCGTATACCCTTACCCCTATTTAGAAACTAAAAAGTACCCCTTAAAATGCATTCAATTTTACCACCCCTACCCTATTCCAACGGCAGTGTGACCCTCGGACCACACCCCTGTGTTCCCCTACCGCCCCCCCGGAGGAAAAAAGAACGGAAACTCTGTAAAAGGAGGCGAGGGAAAGTGCCGTTGCCCGAAGCATGGCAAGGACACAGCGAACGAAGCGCACGAAGACGAGGAGGAGCAGTCCCAAAGAGTTCAGAATGCTCGCTGCTCTACCTCACGATACTAAGAGCAGCAAGCATGCAGCACAAGACATTCTGAGCCCCTCCTCTCGCCTCGAAGTTGCAAACAACGAGTTGCGACGACTGGAGGAGGCTGCAGAAGACTTTCCTCTGTGCATGGAGCTGCTCAGAGCAGAGATCGAGAACATCAAGAGCCTCATGCTCAACGAGAAAGAGAGGCAAGACGACAAGTCTGACAACGAACAACCATGGCAAGTTGAGATCGTTCAAGGCTCCGAGCGAGTTTGCGAGCAAGTCGCCGATGTCGCAACCGAGGGACCGAGGGAGCATCAAAGCTCCTGCCCGGTCACATCAGAGAACGAGTCAACAAGGCAAGAAGCCTCCCACGGCAGTTCTGAACGAGACTATCACGATTCTGCTGACGTTGTCAAGAACGACAGCCCCTCGTTGCCAGACGACGCCACCAAGAACCCTGAGGCGCGGGCTGTCGCTCATGAGAAGAAGGTGTCAAGGCTTCGCATCCCCGTGGAATCGTTTCCTGGCTTCAACTTCATTGGGAGAATTCTTGGACCTAGGGGAGCCACGTTGAAGAATCTCGAGGCAGAAAGCGGCTGCAGGCTGTACATCCGAGGGAGAGGCTCCTTGAGGTATTATGGCAGAGGAGGAGGAGGAGGAGGAGGAGGAGGAGGAGGAGGAGGAGGAGGAGGAGGAGGAGGAGGAGGAGGAGGAGGAGGAGGAGGAGGAGGAGGAGGAGGAGGAGGAGGATGCCTCATCCTGTTGTTGAATGCGGAGGACAGGTCCCTCCTCCGAGCGACGAGATCGACGAGCTAAAGAAGCAGCAGCTCAAGGACCTGGCGATCCTCAACGGGACGTACAAGGAGAACAAAGTCCTCATGCCGGTAAATTTGATGTTCATGTGCATGTTCATGTTCATGTTCATGTTCATGTTCATGTTCATGTTCATGTTCATGTTCATGTTCATGTTCATGCTCAGTGTCTCCTCTTTATGTTTGTTCATAATCGTAGGGATGATGAGACATGCTCTCGCAGATGAACTACAGGAAATATCCTGCAAACTCGATGGAGCAGGAGCGGGGACAACCGATCCAACCACATCATATGTGAGCGCTCCAACCCCATTCTATCCTCCCCAACTCTGTCCTCCCCCCCCCCCCCCCCATCTCCTTTTCAATTCTCATTTCTTGCCAATCAGGATGAGCGAAAACGTGCGAGGAAGGTCTGCACGCCCGGCCTTCGAGCCCAACAGAGCCGCTCCATACGACAACTTCGCGAACCGATTCGCAGGAGCTCAGCATGAGCAGCAGCGCGCCATACTCGCCATGCAGTGCGGGCCGGGGAAGCAGCCGATGCCCTACAGCAACGGCCTCCTCTCCCTCTCAGACATGTGGAACGCACAGAACCAGATGGGGAGGGGCAGCATGGCGATGCCGAGACAAGCGGACGAGAGAAGGCACGCGGGGCAGGAGAACCTTCATCCCACCAACCGCATGGAAGCGATGAGGGCCGGCGGCTTCCCCGGGCATCTGCCCCAGCACATGTCTAACTGTGGGGTTCCTCACGGGCAGGGACTCCAGGGCTTCCCGCAGCAGGAGATGGAAGTGCGCGGGGACTGGAGGATCGAGACTGAGCGGAAGGCCCCGTCCTCCTCCTTCGTCTCTACTCCGTCCAAGTCTCCTCCTGGCGGGTCTCGAAACATGTCCAGGTGGCATCCTTACACCCGCTCCCCTCCACGAAGTCCCCCCAGCAGCAAGGTGAAGTTGTCCCATCCTTCATAGCGCTCGTCCCTGACCGCTACCGCAGATCCTCGCGCTGGGGGAGAACATTTTCCGTACTCAGGCTGGAGGGAATTATTCTTTGTTCTGAGACCGGAGGAGGAGGAGGAAGAAAAATTCCTGGAGATCTCTCATAGAGAATTTTTTGGCTACTTACAAAGTAATCTACATTAGGAAGGAGGAAGGAGAGGAAAGGGGTAGAGGAATAGATGAGAATGGCCATGTTATCAAGGATAAAAATCACTCAGTCGTCGTCTATCTCGAGCTTCAGCCCTCGTAGCTGTAAGGCAAGACATCGTCACACAAGGCAGGAGGAGGTGGGGGAAGGAGGAAAGTGAAAACTAAAAGACGAGGGAAGGGAGGGGGGGGGGAGATGGCGGAGAGAAAGAGGTAAGTCACTTACAATCGAATTAGGAACGCGATTCCATTCATCATCTCCTTCTCGTTCACCTCCTCCTGCTGTGCCATCCCCGCTGCCTGCCCCTGCCCCCGCCCCTTCCCCTTCCCCTGCCCCTGCCCCTGCTCCTGCTGCTCCTGATCTTCCTGCTCCTGCTCCTGCTCCTGCTCCTGCTCCTGCTAATCGTCCCCTCGTCTCTCCATTCGCTTTATCCACGTCAACCTCTTTCCGATCTTCTTCATCCTCGTTTGCGTTGTCGTTCCCTGTCTGCCGCAGCGCTTTCAGTGGCTTTACTCGGAGCAAGCATCACGGACCTTCTCCTGCTCCTGCTCGTCGTCATCCTCCACCTCGCCATGGATCGGAGGACTAGGTGCTGCCCTGTCCATCTCCGGCTCTTCTTTGCCTCTTCTCTCGACCTCGTCCTCCTCGAGCAGCTTCGACTCATGCTGCGGCTGTTCAGGATACGGGAGAGCCCTCGCACCTCTCTACCTCGTCGCTCCTCTCCGACCCTGAGTCGGAGACCGGGCGTGTGATGTCCTCCTCGTTCATGCCTGCAGCCCACTCACGACTCCTTCCTCTCCATCCCTTCTCGTGCCCACTGCCTCTTCTCGTTCTCTACCCCTTCCTTCCTCCTCACCAGAACCCCTCGCTCACCCTCCGCTCCTGCTCCTTCCATTCACGACCTCCTTACCTGTGCCCAGGTTGGTGAAGTCTTCAAACATCGTGCTGGGGGCATCGAAGGCTGTGTCGTCGAACCTGGAACGATCTCGTAAGTATTCACATCAACGGAAAGAGGGAAAAGGGGGAAGGGGAAGGGGGGGGGGGAAGAGGGAGGAGGGAGAGCGGAGAGATAGAGAACGGAGGAGGGGGAGAGAGCCAGGGAGGAAGGGGAGAGAGGAGGGGGGAAAGGGGAGAGAGCGTGAAAGGGGAAGGAGGACGACAACAATATCGAGGGGAAGGAGGACCTCGAGTCATCGTAAACGTCTCTGTCTGTCAAGTTTCCTTCCGCATCAAGTCGCTCCAGTAGTCTCCCCCGCTCGCTCATCGTCGGCCCGACAGCGCTTCCGTCCTCTACCATTATCTGCTTGTAAGCTCGCCGCATACTCGCGATCCTCTCCTGGATCGAGCCATGCACGTCCTCCGTCAGGTCCTCGGCTGTAGACTCCATCCCCACCTGCAACATCTCAGCTAGCAGCAGGGGGCAGAGCACGCGGCACCTCCACCAGGGGAGGGAGCTTGGCGTCGAACTGCTTCCTCCTGTCCGATCCGTTCCTCATCCTCTCACGGAACCTGTAGGCCGCCAGCTTCATGAAGTGCTCCACCCGCTGCTCCGTGCTCCCTGCTGGAGCATGCGGCAGCCTCGGCGTAACCAGCAGCCCATTCTCTCCGTCCTCGACTCCGTTGTCCTCCGCCTCCTCATCCCCGCTCCCCCAGCTCGCGTCCGCCTGCCTCCGAGCAGAGTTGCGAGCTGGAAACGGCATCTCCGTGGGGGCCAGCATCCTCGAGGAGAGCAGCAGCTGGGGCCCGGCCTCAGAGCCTGGAGCCCTGGGGGTGGCAGATACAGAAGTCCCTCCCTCCTGGAGCTCGCCGAAGATGTCGGGGTGGTGAGACGCGTAGAAGTTCTCAGTGTTGGTGAGCGACAGGTCCGTCTCCTCCATCTCCCTCCTCACCAGCTGGTCCAACTTCGTCTTCAGCTGGTTCGCCCGCGCCTCCTGCTGCGGAAACCGCTGCTCCGCCTCCTCGAACTCGGCGGACGCGGTCTCGAGCCGAGAGGTCTTGAGATGGATGCTGTGCATGTCAATCTTGAGCTGGCGGAGCATCTCGCGGACCAGCTGAAGCTCAGCTGCCTGCTCGCGGAGCTTGCATCGGTTCTTCCAGACGAGGAGGTTCACCATCTCATGCTCGAGCTGCTCAACGAGGTACTTGTAGTCGAGGAAGCTGTTGGAGCAGAAGAGCACGGACTTGCAAGCCTTGCTCAGCTCCTCTGCACAGTCGGAGATTTCCAGGATGGGCTGCTGGTGGACATCCTTGTAGCCGAGGATGTGCTTCCTCCTCTCCCTCTCGCGCGACCGCAGCTTCAGCCCTATCGCGATGCTGACGGCAACGATGACGACGGCGAGGAGCGAAACCCCAGCCAAGAGGCCAACATGCCGCTGGGCCCAGGTGGAGCAGACCAGCCACTTCTTCTGAAGGGAGGAGACGCCTTGCCCCACCTTCAGAGAGACGTTTGCTCCCGTCAGCTCCTCCCCGATGGCGAGCGGATTGACGGGGCAGAACCCGACGACAGGAAAGGGAGGGAGGACGGTGTGGTTGCAGTAGAGCTGACCCTCCCGCTGGTTGATCCAAGGGCTCCCGATGCTGGGGCAAGAGGAGGAAAGCATTCCGCAGTAGGACAGGGAGAAGGGGTCGAAGCTCTGGACGGACGAGTCGCTGCGAGCTGCAGTGATGACAAACAGAAAGAGGTTGGTGCCCAGCACCTGGCCTACGTGGAACTCAGCTGGGTAGATCTGAGTCAAGAGGCCGGAGAGGACCCCCCCTCTGCTTGACAGCAAGCTGGAGTTGAACGTGTAGAAGGAGCCCACAAACATCTCAGCAGTCTCGGAGATCCTCCGATTCACGAGAAAACCAGCGAGGAAAAGCTTCTCCGCCATCTCCCCGTAGTAGTCCCCGAAGAACAGCTCTGTCTGCGCGCGAGACGACGGGGTCTGCGCAGCGATCTCCTCTAGCCAGGAGGGGGAGCTGTGGGTGATGAAGTACCCCTGATCATCTGTCAGGAAGAAGTCGAACGGAACCGGCTGCGTCACAGCTCGAGAGAGAGCTTGTCGGATGGACGAAGACAGGTCGGACAGCCCGAGCGACATCCCCACCAGCCCCGCTGGCTCATCTCGCAGCCCCGACTGGCCAGACGTTGAGGGAGAAAGGAGAATCGGCACAGAGATCACGGTCTCCAGCAGGGCCCCTCCCCAGCACCCTCCTGCACAGGTGTGCGGCCTCGAGACCGTCAAGCTCCCGTCAGACATGACAGACTGAGCAAACCACATCTCGTCCGCTGCTGAGTAATCCTTGGGGATGTATCGACCTGGCCAGACCCCGTACACTCCAGACCGGAAGGCGATGACGGCTGACTTCTTCCCTCCCCCGTCTTGGTTCCACGAGGTCACCTTGAGCTCGGACGCCAACACTCGCGCGAGCGAGACATCCCTCATGGCTTCGAACGTCATCCCATCTCCAACAACATTGCTGCCTTGCACCCCACCAAGGTAGACGAGAGGATCCTGCAGGGAGCGGTTGATCCATTGGTTGATGCTCGCGACCTGCTCCGCGCTCTCACTCTGCGCCAGATACTTGAAGGCGTTGAGGAACGACGAGGCTGCGAGCTTCACCGAAAACGCCCCAGTGGAGAAAGTCTTCTCCTGCTCCTGCACCATAGAAACTCCCAGCTGAACCAGGGCTGACGGGTCGGCAAACGTTGCGTGATAAAGCATCGCGGCTGCTGGGACTTGGAGCTTCGACCATGCAGCGTAGGGGGCAGTCATGTTGTTGAAGGAGAAGTCGAACTTGTCAACAGTAGCCGAGCTCTGAAGGTCAGCCAGGATGTAGGACACGAAGCTGGTGCCCGGGACTCTCTGCCAGCAGAAGGCGACGGAGACATTCACCTCCGTAGTGTAGTAGACGAGTTTCTTCTTGTTGACCGTGAGCCACTTGAGCAAGGTGAGGGGAGTGCGATCTACCCTCACTACCGCACATCCTTGCGTCACAGTCGCTGCCCTCTCAAAGAGGGAGAAGGAAGACGCTGAGGAGTCGCCTTCCACTCTGTTTGCATCCAGTGGGAGGTAGACCCCTGCTTCAGCAAGCTGCACCACGAGGGGATGAAAGAAAAGTTTGAACGGCTTGTCCCTCATGAAGACACCCAGGTGATAGTCCTCGTCGGAAGTCTCTGCAAGATCGGACAACTTGGCCACGATGTAGTCAAAGTTGAAATCGATCGCAACGACACCTTGGAAGTCTGCATGACCACTCTTGTCTGCGGTGACTATAGGAGCCGACATGGTGTAGACACATTGCTGAGAGCTGCAGTTGGGCAACATAGAGCCCTTGTGCTGCTCGTCGAACTTGAGAAGCAGAGACATCATATCCATCACAGGATTCAGCTGGCTTCGCAGAGCTGAGAAGTTCCCATACGCTTCGACCTGAACGTAGAGCCCTTGGTACTTGCAAGCCAGAGTTGAACAGAAATTGCAAGTGGTCGAGCCCAAGGAGATAGTGAAGACCTGTGCAAAGAGCTGCTTCTGGTACGGCTCGATATCATTCAAGGTCTTCGTCGCTTCGGTTGTCGTAACGAGCCCGTCCGTGATGAGGAAAAGCATTCTGGAGCAGTTGCGCGAGTAGCCTTGAGCTGCACTGTTGCGAAACAGGTCCCAAGCCTGAGTGATCGACAACTCCAACAGGTGAGTTTGCAACTGCAGCTCCTTAACGACCACTTGCTTCAGAAACGACATCAAGATGTCTCGGTTCGCTCGGGTTGCAGGTATCAACAGGCTGTTCGACACACAGGGGCTCAACTTGCCCGACACGATGAGCTGCAAGGAGTCATCCGGGGAGACAAGGCTCAACACGGCATCCACCACTCCCACGATCATCTCCGAAGCACGTGGTATTGAGACGGACAGGAAGGAAGACACGTCAATCACAACCACGACGTCTTTGCTGATCGAGGCAGCGCTTGCGAACCATTGGAAACCTCTTCCGTCCTGCTCTTGGAAAGTGGAATACCGAGGATCCGTCCTTTGAACAGTTGAGATCGTCTCCCCGATAGAAGACACAAACGTCACAGCTTGTATGTAAGGAGCTTTGATCGTTCGGAAATATTTCGATAGGCTCGAGTACAGGAGGCAGCTTTGTAGTTGTGGTCGTGACTGTACACTCTCTGCACTTGGCGGGAAGTTGACGAGAATCGAGGAATTGTCAAACGCGCAAGTGCTGTTCTGACTTGTTAAGCTGTTTTCGATCAAGGACTTGACGATGCTGGAGATGTTTCTGAGTGAAGTCACAATGTCTCCAAGAACAGATGCGTACGCCTGAATCGAAAACTTCTGAACGCGATCAGGCAGGCTCAGAGTCGAAGTTGTGGATCCACCATTTGAATTGATCGTATCAATAACATTCTGCAGGCTTGCGCTCAACACACAATCCTTGCCCTTTGCCACCTTCAGGTAAGTACACGCCCACGTTGAGAGGGTTTGCTCTACCTCCCTGGTCATGTTCATTACCTGTCTACTCTGCAACTGAAAGCCATGACCTTCTGCCAGTAAGAGTGCCAGCAGGGTGAGAAGGAGACACTGCGCTGGCATCTGGCTCTTCAGTCTCTTCACCATACAGGCAAGAGATGGACTACTTCCGCATGGATCCCAACAGAGATTGTTAGCAGACCGCTACAGCTCGCATGCCCCGAACAGTCTTAGAGGTGACTCTGACTTGGACGGCATTGGCTATCCGCGGCTCTCTGTCTTCATTGCTTGCCATCTCCTCCCTCCCTCCCTCCTCCTCCCCCTTTCTCCTCCGCCATGAAAGCCATTGATAGATCCCCAGAAATAGTCCGAGGGTAGGGGTAGTTCAAGGTAGGAAAGGGGGTGGGGTAACTAAGTGGATTGTGGGGGTAAGGGTAGTGTAAAGGGTACTTCGTAGATGGTAGGTAGCAAGGAAGCAGAAAAGTAGGGGGTACTGAGAGGTCATCAAAGGGGTACAGATTCTGGCTCTGGTACGAAACAGGGTAGGAAGATATCAGAGGGTGAATGTAGCGGGGTGGGGGTAATATGGTCAGGGAGGGGACGAGGGGACGCCCTTTCGATTTTTGAAATGGGCGTGGAAGATGGCGGCGCCGAGGAGATGGAAATGCAGCGAAAGGAGGTGACCCAACTCCCTCCTCTGCTCTTTCCCTCCTGCTTCTTCCCCTCTCTTCCTGCTTCTACGACTCCCCTTCTTCTTCTTCTCATCCTCTACTTCTTCTGCTAATCATCTATATCTTGTGCTCATCCTCTACTGCTCCTGCTCCTGCAACCACAACTCGCACTAGCATTGTATACTCCTGCCTCTTATCAATAATCATGGATCTTGCCTTGAATATTCCATTCTTTAACAGCCTCCTTCTCAATATTGGTACTTTTCTGTTTCCACTCAATCTCAATGTCGATTTCTTTTCCCTGGTTTTCACTCTCATTGCCGTGTACCTCTTCTTCCTTTTCTCACCCTGATCTTGTCTTCCATTTCACAGGAATCGCAATTTAACGCGCGACACATGAGCCCGGAGGAGCAGAAAAGAGACGAACTCCGTGCTCGTCTGGCCGCGCTGTCAGACAAGGTCCACAGGGCAGAACAAGATGTGATCTTAGAGCAACAGGCACAGAGGAGGCAGAGGACGCTCCACCAAAGATTGGTCAAGGACGTCGATGACCTCCGACGGACCCTCCTTGAGATGAAGAAGTTCGAGAAGGAAATCAGCGGCAGCCAATCGACAGTGGAGAAAGCTTTCGAGGATTTCAGCGTCAAGAAGAGTTTCCCACCCCCACGGCACAAGCCAGAAGGCCATGCGGTGGATGAGAAAGAGAACGTCAGCCCTACGAAGGCAATTGCGATCAGGTTTGACGTGGAGAAGAAGAAAGTACAACAGGTCTGCGAAGACGCGATAGCAACCACAGGGAGCAAGCTGGTCAACCAGGCTGCAGGGAACCTGGCGATGAGTTCATTCCCGTCTCTCATGGAACAAGGTGTCTTGAACATGGATCATACTACAATGCTTCAGGTTGCTTCCAACTTAGCGGACAGAAAGGCTCAAGATATCAGGGATGTCATGAACGTCGACAACATGTACGAGGCCTCGAGACAGCGCATGCAGTCGGAGAAAGTGGCAGATAAGATGCGATCGCTCCTTTACTATGCGCACAGAGAGCACCTTGCTTCGTTCGAAGAAGGCCAAGCTCTCCGGTGCGATGCTCAGAATGCTCAGCGTCGTGTCGAGTCGCTGATCAAGGACCTTGAAAGCCTTCACGCCAAGAAAGCGAGGAATGATGCCGAATGGAGGATCCAAGCGATCTCGATGAAGCAAGACCGAGACTTGAGCGCGGCGAAGACGAAGATGGAGGTGATTCAAGGCAGAATCAACGAAATGAAGCTCAAGGTGCGGGCCCACAAGCAGTCTTCAAGAGCTCTACACTCCAAGCACGAACAGAAGAAGAGGCTCGCCAAACAGGAGAAAGACCTGAGAAACTTTCTGCAGCAACTCATTGCAATCAGCAAGAAGTCGTCTGAGTCTCTGTGCGCCGCCCATGCCAGGTTGCTGGATGCAGGACGAGCAAGCTTGATGGACAGAGCGAATGAGTTGGAGGACATGCACATCCGTGTGGAGGAATTGTGGCCCAAGGACAGGGATGGGCAGCAGGAAGATCTGAAAACATTCCTGTTGTCTCGCTGTCAGAAGGTGAAGAAGGTGGAGGAGGATGGCAAGAGCTTGTTCTCTGGGAAGCTAGCGCTCGAACAGACGATGGAAGACAAGAGTTTTGTCCATCTTGTGGCGGAGACCAAGTGGCTGTTGATGAGGGAGAAGACCTTGGAAGCTCAGCTTGCTGCCTGTCAACATCTCAAGGATTTTGTTGAATCTTCTCGGTCAAAGCCTTGGAACGATGACAACTACGTGCACACGTTGCAGACAAGCCTCGATGCTCTCTGCTCTGTGAGTGTCTTTCTCCTCCTCCCCTCTCCCCTCCCCTCACGTCTTCCCTCTCCCTCCTCGCTGGTGCTGACGATGAAACACAGAAATGGCAGCGAGTGGTAGAGGAGGAGATCCTCAAATCTGTTCGAACGGGTGTAGACGCTATTGAGAGGAGCAAGAGGCTGGAGGAGATGGTGCAGGACTGGAGGGAACAACCAGCGCAGTTCGCGCTCCCCTGGGTGAAGGTGAGGGGGATGAACCTGCAGGAGTGGATCCATCACTTGAAGAGGAGGGGTGAGATGATCTGAACAAAGAAGAAACATGTGCATTCACGCTGCTGCTCGATGCACTCCAAGTGCGCCGCTGCCTCCTTTCGAGGATCGACCTGCTCCGAGAGCTTTCTGTCGACCCTGTCATCCGTCTTCGAGGAAGCGAGAGCACCACAGGCTGCTGCCACCCGCCGACCAGGAGCTGGTCGGGAGGAGGGGTGGCAGCTTCTTTATCCTCAGCAGCCCGAGAGCTTCACCTTCTTGCCTGAGCTCTTGGTCACGCTCAGCGTCGTGAAGGACTCAGCGCTGGTGGGATGGATGCCGACGAGCTCGTCGAGGTCCCTCTTGCACGCCCTCAGCTTGACCGCCAGCGCGAAGCCCTGGATGATCTCTCCTGCGTTGTCCCCGACGATGTGCATGCCGATGATCCGCTCCTGCTCGGAGGGGAGCACGATCACCTGCAACCCCCGTCAGCTTCCTCTCCCTCTCCCTCCTCTTCTTCGCCACCTTGAGGAAGCATGCTGTCTCCTTGCGCGCCGCCCTTGGCTGCAACTCCATCATTGGGAGCGCCCACTCGAGCGGCCTATAGAGGTTGTGGTAGACTTCGATCTTGTCCTTGCCGTAGGTCTTGATCGCCTCCTCCTCGCTCATCCCGACGCATCCGTACTGCCAGCAGCGTCAGCATCGCACCCGCCCGCAGGACAAGATGCCTCGAGAGGGGTGAAGACTGTCGTGGGGACGCCAAGGTAGTCCATCTTCCTTCTTGAGTTGCCGAACAGACGATCAGCAAGGAGCTGACCAGCCTGGATGGCAACGGGAGTAAGCTCAGGACGACCGTCAAGTACGTCCCCGATGGCAAAGATGTGCTCGCAAGTCGTCTGCTCTGTGTCTCCGATACCCTCCCCGACCCCGACGATCTTCTCAGACTTGCTCTCGACCTTCACGCCCGCTTTGTCGAGGTCCAGCTGCTTCGTTAGCGCGTACCTGCAACACAGGCAGGTAAGGAGACGACTTGCACGTCGACAGGAGCGTCAGACCTGCCAATGGCGAGGAGGACTGTATCGAACACGTCCTGCTTCATCTCGCCCTTGTCATCGGTGTAATGGACTTTCACCTGCTTGCCAACCCTCTCGAACTTCTTGGGCAGGCATCCCCGCCAGATGTCAACCCCGTCCTTCTGCATGTAGTCCACTACAAGCTGCGCACACTGCTGGTCGAACCCGCGCAGCGGAATCGACCGCATCATGACTGTGGAAGAGAATCCGATGGCGTGCAAGAAGCCGGCACACTCAAGAGCTACGTAGGAGGCTCCGACCACGAGAGTTCGGCCTGGCGGTTCCTTGAGAGAGAACAAGTCGTCACTCGTTACGCAACACTCCCTGTCTCCTTCAACATCAAGATACTTGGGTCTGCCTCCCACCGAGATCACAAATGCTGCTGCTGTCTTCTTCTCGATTCGCCCTTGGGCATCCCTGAGTTCGACGGTGTGGGCATCTATGAAGCGAGCTTTGCTGTTCCAATACTCGACGTTTGCTGACCTCAGCTCGTTCCTGGTTACCGACAGGTTACAACGTCGCTAGAGAGCACGAAAAACAAGCACGTGCAAGACAATTGTGTGCGGAGAGAAGACATGGAGTTTGGGGTCAGGGTAGCAGGGAGGGAGGGAGGCAGGAGGAGACTGGTCAGACCTGTATCCGAAGTTCAAGCTTCCGATGTAGTTCTGGACGTTGTCGACAAGCGTCTCCCATGAGTGTTGGACATCGTCGGGGCATGCAAACCCGAAGCTCTTCGCGTCCAAGATCGCCTCGTGGATCAGCCCCGCTCGATGCATCAGCTTCTTGGGGATGCAGCCAACGTTGACACACGTTCCTCCCAGTCCCCATGACGTCCCCTTGGGCGTCGGGTCCACATAGTCGCACACCGCTACCTGTAAACTGCATCAGTCGCATGATGCGAAAGAGGTACAATGGTCGGCTCTGCGACCTTTGCGCCATGGCTGGCCGCCTGCTTCGAGCATGCAAGGCCTCCCGACCCTCCGCCGATGACGATCAGATCATATTCGTAGGGATGAGAAGCAAAGTTGATATGGTTTTCCGCTACCACGACAGTCTCAGTGTTTGGGGACCCTCGCGGAGCAGGGGAGCTCGATTGCATGAAGGCACGTGATCGCTTCGCTCGCATCTCGGAAACATCCTCTGCATAGATCTCGCTCTGCAGCCCTTCCTCCTCGAACTCTCCGGCCGCCTTCTCCATCGCCATCTGAAGCCGGACCAAGGCATTGCCTCCCCCACGAAGTCTTGCCAGCCTCGCCGCAGGCATCGCAGGGGGGCAAGGCGTGAGCTCGGCGAGGGAAGGGGCAACGAGAAGTAGCGATGCTGCAGCGAAGAGGAGAGGAGAGGAGAGCCAGGCTCTCATGCTGCAAGCGCTCCCCTTCATTCCTCCTCCTCGTTAGGCTTGTCCTCTGTTTTCCCTTTCCCCTTTTTTCTTCTTACATTTTTCGAGCCCGCCTCAAGGTTTCCCTTTTAGCCTCCTGCAGGCTCCTTTGGGCTCCTGCTCCTCCTGCTCTTCCTGCTCCTCCTGCTCCTCCTCCTGCCCCATCGCTCCTCTCTCCCCTGACGATCAGGGCCATGCCTGCGCCCACGTTCGAGGAGGTTGATCGTGAGGCAGAGGAGTGCGGCTCCTGACTTGTTTCTGCAGGTTGAGGGGTTGGGCATGACGTCATCGCAAGCCATCATCGCGTTTCTCCTTGCTGCCTGGTTAGCGGTGATGTACTGTATCCTGGACAGGAGAATGGGTGAGAGCATGTTGAGGTTAAGCGGGCAAGGTGACTTCGTGGGCTTGCAGGAAACAGCAGCCAGGAGAATATGTACAGACTGCTGGAGCAGATGGAGAAGATGAAGGAGCAGGGGTTGCTGGACGAGAGCGACATGGAGGTCCTGCGAGCGCAGAAGAAGACGAACTAGCAGTTTGATTGAAGGGAGTCTGAGGACAAGGAGGAAGCGAAAGATGTCTTCAGACGAACAGAAGAACCCCGAGCAACAAAAGGCAAGTAAGGACGACGGGAGAGTGCGAGCAGGCGCTAATGGCCTGGAACCATTGTGGCCAACCTCCGTCAAGTACCTCAAAGTGATCCTTTGCAGACCCTTGCCCGTTGTGTGATGTTGCTGAGCTCAGGAGAACGACTGGGATGAGATCTCGGGCAGTGAACGAGAATGGTTCTGTGTAACAAGACTGCAAGGAGTGCAGGTATGATCGCGCATCGTCATCAAACGCAAGCATGCGGAGTCCGGTGCGAGGAACAGAGGCTGAGCGCCACTGGGCAGGTCCGTTTCATCCACCATGATGGGCACCCTTGCAAGGGACAGCGGGGGTTGTTTGCCATCCGGTACATGCGCAGGTGTTTGCCAATGACCGCTGAGCGTCAATCCTTCAGAGTATGGGAGCCTTTTGAAGTCTTGGGAGAATACTGTGGAGTGGTGAAGGTTCCGAATGATCAGGAAGCAAGACAGTGTGACAGTGACTATGCTGTAGCAGTCTACAAAGTAACACTCATTCACTTTGATAGCCCATATCTTGTCACCTGTTGATCTGAAACGTTGTTTGCATCGCAATTGCGCACCCTCTGCGGTCTCAGTCTGCAACATGGACGCCATTCATTGATGCTTCTCGAGCAGGAAATGAAACCAGATTCATCAACGACTTCCGAGGTCTCATCGAGTGTTCCCCATCCCACGTCTCTGCTGACTTGTTGCCAGGAGTGGCAGGCAGCCCGAACTGCAAGTTTTCGCAGGTTCCTTCTCTTCAGTCTGTTTGTCACCTCCTTTATGAACTTGCCGCCCTCCAGTCTCACGTGGGAGGGAGGCCTGCGATCCTTGTGGTTATCACAAGGCAAGTGAAAGAGGAGGAGGAGCTCCTGGTCGACTACGGCGACGTCTACTGGGCGGGGTCGACATACCGCGAGTAGTGATGGGTTTTAATATCAGTCAGAGGTTCGCATATTTTTCACATGGTCTAAGAGTCGGAGTCCGATGATTCGATGATGCCCACCTTGCTGCCCGATGCTGCCGTCGGGGTCGGGGCCGGTGATTCATCCGAGGACGACGACGACATAATGCTTTCGTTTCTCCTCGGAGTTGATTGAGAATCGTCATTCTGCTGGCTCTCCCCTCGCTTCTCCCTCTCCGCTTCTTGATTTCCATCTGCCAAGCTCTCCCGTCCCAGATCAATTCGCTTCTGTTTCAGGGCCTCCTGCTCCTCCTCAGATAGCTTCCGAAGCTGCGAGAAAGAATCACAATAAATCATCACATCGGGGTTCAACAAGAGCAGAAAACACAACAAGATGCAACAAGACAGAAGGGTGCTTCACCGTTTGAACTGCTTTCAAGTACGACGGGAATCTCTCCTTCAACCTGCGAGAAATCCTGTCTGGACCGTCGAGATCCCTGCAGAAGCAAACTTCAGCATTGCAGTGGAAGAGAGCATAACGAAGGAAGCTCACATGATTGCCGAATGGGTGAGAATGTCTTTGCGCTTTCTAAGATAGGTTCGATTGTGAAGCGGATGATAAAATGCACATCCCGAATTCTCCCCAGTTTTCTCCACGAAGGCCACAACGAAGTGGTCATCATGCCACTCCTCCTGGTACATTCGTGCCTGAGAAGATCAAAGGATGAGTAGAAAGCTACAACAGCCGAACGGAAACACTCACCTCATTCTCGCAATACTCTCGAAGACAATTGAACTCGGTGACTTTTTCGTCCTCATCTTCATCCATCTCATCATCGGCATCATCACCCCGCTGTGGAGCAGCAACCACATTCAGTCGGACGCATCGGTCAGGATACTTCACACTCAACCTTCGCCATCTTCTTCCGTCGTTTGCTTTCAGGAGCAGGCAGCATGTAAGCAAACGTACGATCATTCGCCTGCAGATAGTTAGACTGGAGACAGCCGAGTGTACGATTACATGCTGCATCGAGCGCCCAATGTTGATGAAGGCCGTTGATGCCAAAGTTGCGCGATCTGCCATTGAAGTATTCGCTGCCTTCGGGTCGTCCAAGGTAGGATCTTGGTCGAAAACAAGCTCGGTATAATCGTTGGGCCAGCACTTGGTATCCGGTAGGATCTCCCAAACCTTGGTGGCCACGAGATCCGGGTTTGTTGGATGTTTGAGGTCTTCGAGCTTTCGGGACAGTTCGAAGGATTTCTCGATCTTCTCTGCCAGCTGCTTCGGCGTGAGCTCCTGAACGTCCTCTTGGATGGGAACAGGCAGTTGAACTTGGGGTTTGTGACCTTGCTGATAGTCATACAAATCCTCATTGCCATAGTACGCAGTCTTGTGCAGCCAAGGCACATTAGGCCTCTCCTTGATATTGATGCGAAGGTTGGACCTGTTTGTTTCGACCTTCTCCCCTTCAAGAAGATATTTATCCTCTGGAAGCAGCGGGGCGCCGTTTGACGGCGGCTCGTAAGTTTCCGGTTCGATAAGATCGATGTGTATCCCCAGGTTCGGCTCCGTGAGCAGGCTGTACTTGAAGTTCTTCTCCAGGGACGTGAACGAGTACGAAGTCAGCTTCTTTACATCCATCTGGCTCGCCAGGAACTTGGGCTCGAAGGGTAGCTCAGGAAGGTCGTTCCTGAACTTCATCTTAGAGATGAAGGTGTCGGCTCTGGACCTCTTGGTGAGCAGCGAGTGATCCTCTGCTAAGTTGATCGGCGCTGCATCGCCCTTGTTCGGCGCCTTCCTGCTGTCCTGCCCAGGCTGCCGCGCGTGCGACGACGTCGGCCGGGCTGCCATTCCTCGTCCACACGTCCGTTACCGCTGTAACGGAGTATTTGGATCGAGCGGAACCGGTTCAAATCGGCTCGAATCGATTTGAGACTTCAATGCGGCATGGGCAGCGCTAATGATGGGGGAGGGAGGGAGGGAGGGAAGGAAGGAGGGGCGTAGAGATGATGAAAATGGAGGAATAGAGAGAGAGAGGAAGGGAAGGGAAGGGAAGGGGAGAGGAGAGGAGGGAGGCCAACAGATAGCAGGAGAGGCTGAGAACTTAGTTATGCTCCGTTGCTGTGTGCTATTGCCTGCACCACTCGGATTTCAGGTAGACCTCCTGTGCAGAGATTGCTGAAATTCTGTTCCCCTAGCGGCTGAGCATCTTGAACATGAACAGAGAAGAGCTGCCCCAGGTTTGTATGAGTTCTGTACTCCTACGACTCCGACCACTAGGATTTGATTCATGGTGCTGCAGGGCGTACAAAACCTTGGCTCAGAGCAGATCATCTTATGGAAAGACACGAAGAAATGGGTTGAAGAGGTGGCAAAGAGGCTGAAGTACAACAATGTCCAGGTGGACGATGTTCATCTTCCTGTTCGTGTATGATTCTCATCATCGTTTCTCAGGTTGCCAGACTAACAGGACTACCCACCGACGCATTCGACGCATGGTATTCAGGCGCGGCGCCTGAGGTAAAGATTACCACACTCTTGAGACAATGGATCAAGAAGATCGTGGATCAAAACGCCAACAAGCATCAGCCCGCATCAGACTTGCAGAAGCAGCAGCAATCTCCGATGCAACAGAACTTCGCTGGGGCCTCGGGGAAGTCACAGCAGGTAGCGTGACCTTCTTGCGAGATGCTGCGGTCTCACATCCTGCAGCTTTTTCGTCCACAGCAAAATGTCTCCTCCCAGTATCAGGGGAACAAGCCCGGTCAGGTACCGCAGCTGCGAGCGGGCGTTACCTTTCCTGACCTCCACTCCTTCAAACCAGGTGGGACGCGGTGGCCAGATGCTCCCTGGCGGGACAGGGATGTTCGGTGATAGTGCAGGAGCTCTCTCTGTGGATGCTTCAGCGAAGGTTTCCTCCGAGCTCATGCAGGCTATCTCAGGATACTACAACGATTACCTCTTTCCTGACCCCACCCGTGATGAGCTGCCGCCCTTCCCGAGGATTCAAGCGCCGGTGGAGTACGTGGAAGCCAAACCTCCGCCAGACTGGTCGCCTGATAATTTCTTTCCCTCCTCCGACAGCGCTGCCGAAAAGTTGGTCCCCATCCGCCTTGAGATCCATGCGGACGGTCGTTCGCTAAGGGATGTAGTGATATGGAAGATCAGCGAGAATAACGGGAAGGGAGACGTGATTACGCCGGAACAGTTTGCAAGGCACCTCTGTGAAGACACGGATCTCCCGCCAACCTTCGAACCTCTCATCGTCAACCAGATGAATGACCAGATCAATGACTTCCTCTACCACGGGGCATCGGAGGAATCCGTGCAAGGGTGCATTGACGAGGATTCGTACGGCAACTCCACCGAAAGATTGCACAAGATCAAGATCGATGTGAGAGTGAACGATTTCGTCTTGGAAGACCAATTCCTTTGGGACCTCAAGAGTCCGAACAGCGATGTGGACTTCTTCGTGGATCAATATTGCAATGACCTGCAGCTGCCTTCCGATCTGCGGGGATTAATAGCCCACAAGATTCGTGAAAAGATTTTCGAGTCCAGGAAAAAGATCCGCCAAGGGAGGGATGCAGGCATTATGAGGAGCATCCGGATAAGATGGCGTGAGAGTGACAAGCGGGAATGGGGTCCCAACACGCAGGTGACAAGCCCAGTGGCTGCTGCTGTTGCCAGTCTGTGACGACCTTGCCGCGCTTGCAGTGGCTCACAGTGAAGGAGCGTGAGATGCTGGATCGGAATTCAAAGAAGCAGAGGAGAATGCCGGGTTGATCTCTCCCTTTGTTTGTGGCTGTTAATTGACTGCACGTGGAATACCACAGATGTGAAGCCCCGACCCTTCATGAACAACATGAATATGCCTGTGTTACCGAGATACTAGCTGTTAAAACCTACGAACTACAACGATGTACTAGCTGTTTCAAAAGAGGAAGTGATGATAACTAACTGAGGTCCGATCGGCCGAGGCTGGCCCGGCTTCGCCCGACGACGAAATACGGGAGGCGGCCTGCAGCGGAGGCGGCCCGGGGAGTCGGAGTCCGACGGAGTCCCGGCGGGACCGTACTGGGAAGAGTACGGTCGGAGCAGCTTGATCTTCTTTACTCAAAGCTTGATCAGAGCTGAGACGGTCGGACTGAGTAAAGGACTGAGCGTCAGAGTCACGCTTCCGCGAGTCAAGTGCATATCCTTTACGCAAAGTAAAGCATATCATAATCAAAAATAGAAAATGAGAAGGTTGCCATCATATCCGTATCTACTAGACAAGTTCCACATACAGCCTGATTAGTCATCTTCTTTCCTAGGTACTAAAGTTTACTTACTTGGTGGATTCGGGACTGTAAGGCTTCGGAAGTAAAAACATCCGGACCAGCATGCGACCACCTCCTGATACGGATACGTGAGGGGTGGGTCCAGAGGGGGCAGGGAGGGGGTCCGACCTTGATATTGATATTACCATGTCGCCGAGTAGGGTAGGTGGGGGAACATATCAGTGCATTTGTAGTAAGGTCCTAGCTGTGTCCTAGCCAGGGTACAGCGCGTGTAGGACCCTAAGAAGCTAGGACCTCTAGAGCACAATATGGACCCTAAGTGATACCCTCGAGGTCCTAGGAAACGAATCAATCGGGGACCATTATAAACACGGAACATATCAGCGGAAGAAAGCAAAGAAAGGACGACGGCAGGGAAGAAGTCAGTGAGGAGATCAGGCCCCCTGGAGGAGGTAGGCTTCAGTCTCCGAGTCACCCGCCTTTCCGAGCCATCGCCAGAGCCCGTCAGCAACAAGGACGGAGGAAGACTCTTCTCAGGGACTGCGAGAGAAGGCTATTTTTCTGAGGCAGGAAAGGAGGAAATGAAGCTCATCAATGATGAGGCGTTTCAGCAGATTCTTCTGTCTCAGGCGGTAAACATGAAGAGTTCTAAATCGACTCCCACAGTTAAGGAAGATGTCAACGTGAAGGAATATTTCCATCATTGGTTCATGATCAGCAAGTTTATGAAGTCCTGCAACAATTGCAAAATTGCTGTGAGGCAAAAGAAAACATTTATCCGAGCCGAGAAATCCCGCGATGGCTCAGAAGTGACATATTTCTGTCCCCCTTTTCCGTGGCAAAGGCAGAAAAGAATATGGGAGTCTTTTGACAAGAAGAGCATGCTCAAGACCAAGATGGATCCTGGGAGCTCGATCCGATTGGATGGATTTTCCGCTGGAAGAACGCCGGAACAAGAACAAGGACAACTCAAGTCTGCCCGAGGTCGTCGAGCCCTGTCCCTTCCCGACATCAGTCACATTCATGTATCCAGCAAACCTCCCCTGGCTCAAATCAACAGTGGCGAGCTGATTCGTTGATGAAGGATAAACTGATGATTGACTTCACCTGTAATGTAGATGGCACGCTCGAGGACACAACGAAATTTTGCGATTGGAATTGCCGTGAATGAACTTGAGAATTTATTGGAGGTTTGTAAACTTATCGTCGCATCCAATTCAGTGTATTTCCCAAATAAAGTTCAGATGTGCCTATCCCCGAGGCAGCATCTGCTTCATGCGTCCGCTTTTTCTGACTCCTGGAGCTTTACTGGCCTGACGAGATACATGGGATCTTCTGCATTCATGGCCTTCATGGCAAGCCTGAACAAAGACTGCAAAATATGCATGTTAGCTGCACACTAAGTATCCTCTGACTGCATACCCGCTTCCTGGAGTAAGTGAATGTCGGATTCAAATTGAGGGCAGCAGCAATCTCCTGTACGAAGGAACAAAAATGTAGATTCAGGCCTTGTGAGTCAGCATCCTTCTTCCGCGTACCTTGCCGTACTCGATCCACTCGTCGTCCATCTTATGCCCTTGATCCTTCAGACGCTGAATCTGGATGAGGTAAACAAGCAAAGTTACGAGTCTTGTGGATGCTCAGAGTCATTCGCAGACCTCGGCATCCGCATCTAGGCACGTGAATGCATCTTCCTGTGGAGGGATTGGTTTCTTGATTGCTAGGAAATTGTTAAATCGGAGACTCAGGTTGGTGGTCATACTTTCGCGTATAGCAACCTCACATTCGATCGCCTCTGTTTGATCCTAGGACATAGTCAAGATTCCACAAAACCGCATCCCACACACACACCTCAGAATAGAGATAGTAGGACTGTTCCACTCCCTTCCTTTGCTCGGCCTTCGGCGTCCTCTGTGATACAGCATGTTTTGGAGCATGATCTATGACATGAGAGTAAGGAAGGGCCAAGAACTAACGAAGGCAGCGATCACCTGCTGCAGAATCTCTCATTTGCTGAGTGTCACTCATGATGTCGGTAACGACGGCCTTGGCTGCTTGCACGGACCTGCAAGAGAGATTTGAGCTTACTTCTGACTTCACACAGGAGTTGCAATATACTTGGAGTCACCAACAATGATGATCTCTCTTTGTGCATTGCCATCCTCGTCTTCTGTCCCTGGCCTACGAACCAGAAATGGTAACCGAAAACTCAAAATCTTTGAAAGCAGTCTGAAAGACGATACTTGTTCTGCAAGAAGAGCTTAGCATTCGTATCACTTTGTATCTTCTTGATATTAGCTCCTCCCCGTCCGATGATGGCAGAGGCCACGGCGTTGGAAACGTCAAAAATTTCCTTCTCCAATCTCACGGCCGGCGCCGATGCCTTAGCTGCGACCACATCATCAATTCGCTTCTTGGCGGCTTGAATGTTTTCTGCAGGTGCTCCATACAAGACAATCTCGACATGCTCCTGTTGCTCAACAGCATCACACACTCTCATTCGCACTCCAGTATCCTCTGTGAGCTTTCGAACGTTGACCCCTCCTCTGCCAATCAGGAAAGGGAGTACGCTCTTTGGAACTTCAAGCTTAACAATGCCCTTGATACTCTCCAAAATCATTTCCTTAGCCCTCGCCACGTTTTCGGCGCTTCCACGGATCTCAATATCTCTCTCGGCGCCATCGTAATGCTTTGACAAGTAGATGATGGTTTTGGTGGCCGCGGTTATTCTGTTGATGTTCTCTCTTTTGTTTCCTATGATGAGGAAGCTGAATTCCTTTTCAACTTTCAATATTTCCTTCACCTTGGCTTCCTTTGAAGTGGACTTCTTCTTCTCTGCCTTCTCAGGGTTGGGGGGAAGTTCAGAGGTGCTGAACCTTCTAATGCAGGCAACCCGGGGAGTCTGGCCCCTCCAGGCCTCCTCTGCCATCGAACTTGCACGGCCACACCAGACGGGCGATGAAAAGCTCAACAAATTTCTGCTCCTCCCCGCCAGACTCCCCGCCATCTTCGACACCAGGCCCCCACCTACCCGCAGCATTCCGCGCATGAGCCACCGCGGTCGAGGTTTTAGTCAACAAAAGGGTTTAGGTAAAAGGGTTTTTGCTGTGGCCCTCATCCCTCCTCTTGACATCTGCGGGTGGCGGGAAAGAAAGCAGCAGCAGCGGGCAGGATTCAGCGGCATTCGTCCTCCTCCCTCTTCCTCTTCCTCCTCCGCCCCCGCCTCCAGCTCCTCCTCCTCCTGCAGCTCCTCCTCCTCCTTCTCTTACTGCCTACAACTTCGTCAATGTCTACTGGTTCGCAGGTATGTCTGTCGGTTCGCTGGTGCCCTTTGCACTTCTATTCTTGTTGTCGTTTTTTTGATGAATCTCCCCTCTTTCTTGCTCCGTCCTCATTGGGTCCAGGTCAACGTCGCATCTCTCCCCATCGACCAGCTTCAAGCGCTGAGGGAGCAGCTGCAGGTGACGACGTTGAGGAGACACCCTTGCATGTTGGGCTGACGCAACAGTAGGAGGAAGATCGTTTCCTGACGAACTCCTACTCCCAGTTGAAGGTGATCTCACTTGCTGGTCCTGTCTGCACATGTTCACTTCATCGCTCAGATCGCTCAGAACAAGTTTGTCGACTCTCGTGAGGCCCTCAAGGTCATCACACCGGAGAACATTGACAAGGTAACCTTGATCATCATTTGTTTCGTTTTGTCATCATTTGTTTCGTTTTGTTTCGTTTTGTCCTCCTTTCCCTTCAGGACATTCTCGTTCCGATGACATCGTCGCTGTATGTCAAGGTGCCCCTTGACCGTCATATCGTATGCCACATGACACGTGGACCTCAGGGATCTCTGGCCAAGACGGACACTGTCCTTGTCGACATTGGGACAGGCACAGTCTACTGGGGACGGACAGGAAGTGACCTGCGCTTCAGGTTATTATGTGGAGAAGACTCCAGAGGAAGCAGACGACTACTTGAAGCGCAAGGTCTCGTTGCCTGAACATCACTGCTATCCTCCTCTTCCTCCCTCTCATCCTTCTTCTTCTTCCCTCCCTTCGCGCCTCCCGCTCCACCTCACCTTTCCTCTTTCTGACCCCTTGTCCAGATTTCATACCTTGGTGACAACTGTGAAAAGCTGGAATCAAATATCTCTGAGAAGCGCAAGAACATCGAGGCCGTCACGATGGTATTGCAGGTGTCCCAAGTCTCCGTCGGCCGTGTGGACCACTGACCCCTTTCACAGGCTCGGATCAGGGCGATGAACGAGCAAGCGCAGCCTGGTGCGAAGAGCTCGTAGGGAGTGAAGAGCAGAACTTTCAACGATCAATTATCGACATTCATTGCTTCATAAACATTCTCGAGGAATGACTATCGTCATCGTTCCGTTTACATTTTCTCTGCTTCGCCCCGCACATCTCACCACCTGCCTCGCCCCCGTCCTCCCCTGCTGCCATCGTCACATGCCTCGTTCGACAGAACATCCTCCTCCCACCTGAAGGGTCGACCGCGCACGAAGGGGCTGCGAGACATTTGCTGGACGAAATGGTGAGCAGCTGCATGGATGCCACTACCGCAGCGCCTGTTACCTTCTCCTCCTTCGCGTCCTGAAGAACCTGGTAGAGCGAGTTTGGAACCTCCTGGTCGGCCTCTTTCAGGACCTGGACATCCACGTCAGCGTCTGCTCTGAGGACCATGCTCACGTCTCTTGCTCGCCTTGATGAGCGCTGGACCCAAGGTCCCAATAGCCGCGTCATTCCGCGTGAAGAACGAGTAGGCAGTCCCGCTCCGACCAGCTCGTCCTGTCCTTCCAATGCGGTGGACGTAGTCGGATATCTACCAACAAGTATGTCAGAGAGGGAGAGAGAAAGTGGTTGACAGAGCATCAGTCAGGGGAAGAGGCGGGGAGGAGAGCAGGAGGAAGAACGAGGGACATATGGCAAGAGGCAAGAAGAGACAAGGAGGGACGCAGATTTCTTTCCTCACCTGCCCCGGCATATCATAGTTGACGACCAGCAAGACGTCGTTCACGTCCAGCCCTCTCGAGGCGACATCAGTCGCTACGAGAATCTGGCAGTCCCCCCGTTTGAACTGGACAAGAATTCAGTTGCTGCTCACAACCTTGTACACTCGCCTGTCCTAAAACCCAATCTCGCTCCTGCTGATCCTTGTCTCCATGAATTCCTTTCAGGGCTTGAGTCACCGACCGCAAAGAGGAATGAAGGTTGAAGAACAGGGGCAGAGGTAGAGGAAGGAGCAGGAGCAGGATGGATAAGAGGCAGGAAACGATTGTTACCAAAGGCTCGATAACCGCAGCGACGGAGTTCGAAGACGAGGTCGTCTGTTGTCCTTTTTGTTGCAGAGAATATCTGAATCTCGTCACGAACCAACACCATAGGAGCATCTACTCACAAGGATTTTTCCATCGGGCATATCCTTATTGAAGGCCGAAAGGATCCTGACAAGTCGGGGAGGCTTGTCCGCCTCCTCCAGCACCTTGAGCAAAGCAGGGTTCAGGTTGAGAGGTTTGCCATCAGGAATCAATCACCTCGACGTATTGTAAAACTGTCTTGACAGCTTGCATGCCATGACTGAAGAGAGATGATCAGAAGCTGAAGTAACGAAGCGCATGACAACGACGCGAACCTGCCGACGTAAGCAACGAGGTGCTTTGGATGCAAAAAATCTTGCGCCATTGCCTGTGGGATTCCAAATTTATCGAATATCAAAGGCACCCATGGTAACAAACCTGCACTTCAGTTGGCCATGTCGCTGTGAACATCAGAGTCTGCCGGTCGGGCCGGATCTGACTGACGATGGAGCGGATCTTGGAGGAGGACATGAGATAGGGACAGCAAAGAGGTTCAAGCTCGAGGAACCTGAGGCTCGAATCCCATATCCAACATCCTGTCTGCTTCATCCAAGACAAGGTATGTTACCCTGCACTATTCGATCAAAAACCTCTCCTCCACTCTTCTCCACTCTTCTCCTTCACCGTCTCAGATTTGTCGTTCCGGTTTCAAGGAAATCTATGAGGCGCCCAGGGGTTCCAACACAGATGTCGATTCCTGCAGGAATACATCAGCATCGCTCGATCCAGATCATGACCTGCAAGTAGGAGGGAGGGAAAGTCCAACGCTCCTCCTTCTGTCTGTATCCTCACCTCGTCTCAGCGACCCTGCCTGCGGTCCCTTCGGCGCTCCTCCAAACACTGCTCCAGTCCATGATGAGAGAAAGATATCAACTTCCCCCTCTCTTTCACCGCAAGTACTCCGAAGCCTCGAGCTCCTTCCAAACTTGTAAGCAACATCCTGTTACGAGCTTGTCAGGCGCAACTGTTATACTGGCGAGAAAAAGTCCTGCACCTGGATCTGTTGAGCCAACTCGCGCGTGGGAGCCAAGACGAGTACAATGGGTCCATCCCCTGGTCGCAGGGCCGGCTGCCAGCAGATATCACAAGAAGACTGACAAGCATTTGCACACCGACCTGTGCGTTAACGTGTACGATTGCTGGAAGCAAAAAAGAGAGAGTCTTTCCAGATCCTGCATTTGAGCGTCAGGCAAAAGCAAACAGGTGATTGAAAAAACGACAGAAGCAAAACAAGACCACTGCGAAGATATACACATTATGGGCAATTGACATCGAAGTCACAGCATACTGCTCTAATCAAACCTGTTTCAGCAATGCAGACACCATCCCTGCCGGACAATGCAATCGGCCTACAAAAAAGGTTGAAATAAGTGGGAATAGGATCATGTGCATGGATATGAATGGGGCTTGGAAAGTTCGGAAAGTGGGGGCATGACACGAAGCAAGGAAAGCCAGAGGGATGGCAAATAAGCATGGGGAAACAGGAGTGAAGGTAACGAGAAAGGGGCAATACAAACCATCCGATCGACTGAACTGGTGTGGGCTCTACGAAGCCTTCTTGTGCTATCTGAGTCAACACATACTGTGGGAACCCCCCCTGTCGAGCAGTCAGGTACGGAAATGTTCCACCTACCCCTACTTGCTCGAAGGTCAAGATAGGCCGTGGTGCATCCTCCCCCTGCACGAGACGTCAGCCATCGCCAAAAGCTGCAGGTTGCAAACAGACCTCCATCCTGATTTCGAGACGCTCTGTGATGCTTTGAACCTCCTCCTGTCGTGTCACAAGTCAAGATTTTCCTAGCTTGAGTTGCGGCAGCACTCAAACCGGACTCAATGCAGCAACTTGGGGATGTTCCTTGTAGAAGTTCTTCTGGAACACGGGAAGGTCCCATTTCTTCCAATCCTGCGTCAGGCATTGCACTGAGCCTGAGAATATGAATGATCGAAGAATACCTCCTTTGAGATGTCTTTCAGATTCCTGCCTAAATCTTGGGACTTATACTAAAACAAACCAGTCATCACATGCAGTACAAACAAAAAGCAACACTGACTGGCTGATTGTTCGCTTGCTCATATTGATAGTCTGGAACTGTCACAAATCGTATGAGAACTGGCCAGCAGCAGCAGGACGGATTTTACATTCGGAGCTTTCATGCCTATTGCCTCCACGTAGATACGGAGGTTGATATGAACCTGCACATCTCATGATGATGAACACACAAGAAGCATCAACAACGTACCAGAGAAGCCGTTAGTGTTGGAAGTTTCAGCCTGTCGAATTCAAAAATCATCGGATGCCTATGTCCACAACACTCTTCATTACCAGCGCGATGTAGAGACAGAGAGATTGGGCGATGACAACCCCCCATGCATTGATGACAACTTTCGCTTTCATCTTGAATACAAGCCTGTGGTTGATTTGGGTAAGCCCAGACAGCAGAAACTGGATACAAGTGTACCCTGAGGACAATTCGATCCCTTCAGTCAATCACAAGTCTATCGTGTCAGAAGCAGAAGTCTATCGTGCGATTCAGCGTCGACATAAAGCTATCATCATGCTTGTATTAGTAGTTGTGCCAACATGATTCAAATAAAATCTGGTAATCGGTTCCTTGTTCTGGTGTGTAAGAAGAATGAGATGTACTTATGTCTCTAAAACTTCGGGAGAGGTGCACACGTGGCAACGAAAAAACTGATCCGACACAAGAGGGTTCCTGCTGCCATCACGCACATACAGCGGGATAGCGCTCTCAGAGCAGATCAGACATGTGACAAGAATCGATAGGCGACCAGCAGGAGCAGGAATGGCGTCGATCAAACTTATAACCCTTACGACAGGGGTGCGGCTCGAGGCGCAAAGGCAGAACAAAAGGATGTTGGATTGATAGAGCAAGATGAGCAGTTAGAAGGGAGGCAAGAACGATTCATCTCTCTAGGTAAAGGTGAAGGAGGAGTTCTGATGGGGTTTGTTAGGAATAGAGCAGGCAGACGGATGGAGGTAGTGGACGTAGCAAGGGAAGGGAAGGGCAGCAATACGAACTGAAGCAGCATGCGTATGAAGTAAAGACGAAGTGAGGGGCCGGACAAGGAGGAGGAGCAGGGATGGAGAGATGGAGGAGGAGGACATGAAAGAACGGAGCGGGGAGCGCGACAGCATGGCTGGGGCATGTGCAGGGTTGCAAGTCCAATTTCCCTGCATGGCGCTCAGGCAGCCCGAGGTCTGCCACCTAAACTACCACTCATGGCCTAAGCTACCACTTATGCCATCCAACTTGGGTACCACTTGCCATCTAAGCTACCACACACAAAGTTGGCCGGGCACCGTGGCACCCGGCGGAGGTTTTTCAGTTCCGAGAGCGGCCGGGCCGGGCCGGGCGGTGGCGTTACCGTAGTCACATGATACCTCAGGAGGGCCGACCGCGGTGAGCCCGGGCGTAACATGACGGCATTCAATGATTACAGTGAAGTCATACGAGTTACTCGCTGGTTTCCGAGTTGAAGTCAGTAAGTTGAATCATTTGATAATTGAAAGAATAACTGCAGTGTTCACAAATCATGAAAAGAATACGTGTGACTGATGAATACGGCAACGCCCTGCACTGTCCCAACGGGCCCCCGGGCGCGGCTGAAATCATGCTGAATGCTTGTTCTCGTCATCAGTGGATTCCCAGGTAAAGAACAGAGGAGGAGCTTCTTCATACGGATCAATCTGTCGTGTATATGAGACCTGCCATGGAACAGAGAGGTCAGCTAGTTCCTCGATCTACGTGCAGTACAGCAAGCCTTACCAATGGTCTTCCTAAGGTCTCTCTGTTGAAGTAGACAGCAGCCAACAACCCCCCGAGTGCGAACAGTCCCAGCCCGATGTAGACTGAGAGGAGAGACACGTGGAAGCACGCTGTGAGAACAACCTACACCATCACCACGTCACCTTCCTCCGAGGCGTCAAACCACAGACAAACAGACATACCGGTGCTATCATGGCTGCAATCCTCCCAAAGCTGTTGCAAATTGCCACTGCCACACCTCGGTGGGTGGTAGGAAACAGCTCCCCAGCAAACACATAGATGAGAGTGAAGGGTCCCTCTATGATGCCTTTGATCGACGAATTCAGCGCAATGAACTGAGATAGGTTTGTGCAGAATGGAACCAGGCAGACAGCCACGAAGCACAAGAAAAATCCGATGATCATGGTACCCCTCCTGCCAATTCCGTTCATGTCCATCAGAATCATAGCCACAACGACCGCGAAGAGCTCGACGCCGATGCTAATCAAGACTGTGCTGTAAGCTTCTTTGATCTCCATCCCATACTCGTCTTCAAGGATGATGGGGTATATGAAGATGTGCCCATAATAAATGAACCCGCAGACTATCCATGCAACCGTGCAAAACAAAGAAGTGGACAGCAATCTCCTCCCAAAAATCTCTCCGATGGAGAAGTCGTCGACACTCAACATGAGCCCCCAATGCCCCTTCGTGCTCGGAGTGGGCGAAGGTGGCGGCGCTTCTTCAGGTAACGACACCCTCCCTTCGGCGAGCGGATGCACTCCATTCCACTCGCAGAGCTGGACCATCAGTCGCTGGACCTCTTCATCCTTCCCCTGGACCAACAGCCAATGAGGCGACTCAGGCAGGAAGAGCAAGATAAGCGGCAGAGAAACCAGTCCGGGAAGCACGCATACTGCCAACATGTATCTCCACCACGAATGATCATCGAATGAGTCATGCATAGTAATCCCAACCACACAGGCGAAGGCTGCTCCAACGGCAAATGCGAGGCCCGTCAGAGACATGGCTAGCCGGGCTCTCCATTCCTTTGGCGACCATTCCAGCAAATGACTATCAGATACTGGGACCATGGATCCAACACCCACTCCTGTGAAGAAACGAGAAATGGCAAATACCCATATGTTGGTTGCTAGGGCAGAGAGGATACCAAAGACACAGAAAAGCACAGAGATGGATATCATCGTCGTTCTCCTCCCGTATCTATCTGCTAAGTAACCTCCGATGAGATTTCCGAGCAAGAGGCCAGCAAAAACAGTCGATCCGACAGATGAAAATTCGTAATCATTCAGCTGCCATTCTGTGAGACATGAATTAGCCGTGTGCTTCCTTCTCAATCAGGGAGGCGACTTTACCCTTCTGAAGAGGCTTCCGAAGCAAGCTTATCACGGTCATCTCCATGCCGTCAGCCGCCACCATCAACGATGCAATCAAGAATATGCACAACTACAACCTGATCAATTGGACGCATTCACAAGTGCACAGTTCTGTACCTGGAACATCCCGACGCCCGCATGCTCCAGATGCTCCTCGAGGCTCGGCGATCTTTCCTACGGAAGGGTCATGGGATCAAAGATTCTGTTAAGTGTGGGACTGACATGATTTGTCCGATCTGTCACGCTCCCGGAATTCCTTTCTGTAGACATCCTCTTCCGATCCACGAAACAACCTCGAGGAGTTTCAGTGTGTTATAATGCCTGGTAATGCCTTCGGTTATTCAGCAGTCTCGGACGTCTGGTGGATCTTCTGAGAAGATCGAGTCAGTCAGAAAATCAAAAACGATAATTTTCAAGCGCAAAGTTGTGTTCTAACAGAAGTTTGAAATGTTCAGCCGAGCGTTCACGTTCCGTATCTCGAGCAGACGAGGGAAAGCAAATCATCTAGAACAAATTCCTACAAGCGGATGCTAGAAGTAGCAATTCAGAGAACATGATAGACAATAAACGGGTGGCAGGAAAGGAGAAAGTTCGGTTGTAATCGATCAAAAGCATGTGATTACGGTGTGGAGGAAATCCGCAGACAACAAGATCGCAAATAGAGCTATCACAGCAGGACACACAAGGGGAGACCAACATAGTCTTCGAAGAAACTTGAAGAGGAAGGAGGGGAAAGAAGGATGGGGGGGAGAGGAGGGTAAAGCCACAGAGTTTCGCTCCTCTCTATGCGCATTACGTACGGTGAAAAGCCGCCCGGTGGTCACTACTCTAAACATCGGAGGAGGGGTACTGTGTACCGATAGGGGTTCGCCATAGGGGCAGGATGGGGGTGGAAGAGTTTGCATCAGGGTACTCAGGGAGAGAGGAGTAGGGGTAGTCAATCCAACGTGAGGAGAGGTCACGGAAATAGACTCTCAGTGGCACGGTCCGATTCCGAACTGCCGCACTGGGCCGTCCCGGCGGAGCCCCGGGCTCTGAGTCTCTACTGACGGTAGTTCAACTGCCAACGGTTCTCGGACTCCCGGCCCGGACCCCGGGCCCGGGCTAGCCGGGCGTCACTGTGCTGGCAGCACGCGGCGCGGCCGGACAGCCTGGTGGGTAAGGCGAGGCTTCAAGTACTGAGTCAATCATTCTTGTCCATCACAGTCAGTAGCTAAAGTTTAACTTTTTTAATTGAAACACGTGACTCGGATGCGGCAGCGGCGATCTTCTGAGTCTCCGACTCGTACGCTCCGGGAAAGAACACCGTCACCAATGCCGTTACTTCAGCTCGTCAAAACTTAAAATCCGAACACCCGGCTCTCGGCACATCATTTGTTCGTTAGCATTCTCCATTCTCCCGCATATTCTCCTGTGTAACAAGATCAATGTCTCGCAAATCACGAACCTCGAAAGTCCACCTCCCAAAAAGCTTGGAAGTACGTTTCTGTCAACCAGTTCCAAACAAACCTGGAGGAGCAGACAGGGAGGAAGAGAGAGGAGCAGGCGGACGAGGAGGAAAGAAATCAAAAGGATCAGACCACAGGTGGACTCTCATCGAATCAAACCTCCTTGCTCTTGGATGAATTCGACGTCACTGAGACTTTCTCAGCGGTCCGTGCTGGTATGAAAGGATGCACCAGCTTCCATATTGCAGTAAAAAACATTGGCGCGTTCACCACACAGACCTAGAAGTAGTCAGATGCGTTGTCGAAGAGAGATCGATTGTTTCAAGTGCATCGAAGGCTATTTCACTCACTTTGTGGAAGCATTCCGGATAGCACTCCATGATTTCAACCCCGAGTCGATGCCTTCTTGCCGTGACGTTGCTCTGCCACTTTCGGATCCACATTACTTGCTTCATGCTGCAGCTTGTCAAGTCCATTCTAGAATTCGTTGTCAGGCAACCGTCAGGATGTTGATGTAAAGAATCTGTAAGCAACAGAGAGATAAGACGAACTTACATTTTGACGTATCCCGGAATCCTCCCTGTCTGGAGAAAGATATTGTCCTAGAAACAAGGCTCAGAATGAGGGATTTACCTTCAATGCAAAGACCAACCAGCAGGAAGAAATGATACTCCAGGTTGTGCATGAGATATCTGTCCGATACTTCAGGCGGAATGTTCACCAAACCCTGCCGATCAGTTATTCAACTTTCAACAACGAATCAAACAAAAGCAAATGCAATATTCAACATCAGATTACACATCACGGCGAAATCAAATCGGACACTGCAAGACCTGAAAGTCGAATTTGGGTGTCTGCTCGATGTTGATAGGGCTATCATTTCAAATCAGCGCAGATTCTGTAAAATGTATCCGCAAAGTTCACCTGCCATTCTTACTCCTTCCACTGACAAGATCGAAGGTGCATTGATAACATCTGTTCACAAGTATGTCAATTCTAAAACCCTGGCAGACAGTAAGCCGCACAAGTGATGTTCATGGTAGCCGGGGAACTGATTTGGCTTCATGCCCTCCAAGAGCTGATTTCTGCTTAAAAGATCAACAACAGATGCGACTTGCGGCTAACTTCAAGAAATACCTGATATTATCAAGACCGTACTCTTTCCTGTACTTCATCATGTTCCTGTACTTTTCTCCTGAGCAGAAATCAATTTGATATTGAGGCAAACTTCTTGGGTCAATACCAGCTGTCTTGATGTCCCATTTGAAACCGATGAGAAATCTTACTAGCCAGATGTCGCGAAGTGGTCCCTTAACAGAAAGCATCACAATTTAGTGATGTGTTTGGCATTGTAATCCCACCTGTCCAACCATGGACATGCTCATGCAATCCTGTACCTCTTGAAGCATACTCTGAAACTAATGAGAAAAGTCAGGACAGAGTCCGTTCAACAAAATGGGCGAATTCAAGACATGTTATTACAACAAACCTTCGCTGAGTGTTCCTTGACGATGTCGGATACGAGATCGCCCATGTTGCGGAGGTTAAACGAAACTCCACCTCAAGATTCAGTGCAGTTCGCGAGAGACTTGGAAACAGAAAGGGAATTACTTCTCAGAAAGAAGTAACTTCTACCAACTCATGTCCTTTTTTCCGTTGTGTGCGTTGGATTGTCCTTATTGACTACCCTAGTTGTGCTGATCTTCCCATATTGAGGGAATACACCTCTCAAGACGAGCAGAAATGATGTACAAGAGCATGGCAAATACTATCTGCTCTATCATTCCATCCCATGCAAACCTAACACTACTATCTTCAACTACCAGCAATATCGTGTTTGTGATACCCAACAAATCCGCACAACTGACTCCTCCCCCCGAACATCATCTCGAGCACTCTACCTACTTGCACTGGCGCTCGTCTTCCTCATCCCCTGTCGTATCCTTCTTCTGTCCTGACATTTGCCTTTCTTGTTTTCTTCCTCTCCTCTTGCTCCTGACAGTATGTGCATTTCCTTGTTCCTTAGTTTCCCCATGTTATTTGATGACCTTCCCCGTGATTTTTACAATGACCCACCTCTATAAAGCGAATCCACCACCCCTTTCCTTGAGTAACCCCCACAACTCAAGAGTCGTTGCTTTTCCAGGGGGTGGTTGAATTCAGTACCGGTGATTTACTGAACAAAAAGTCTATTTGATTGTAGGTGGTAAGGATACAAGTACCCACCCAGGAGAGTGAAATTCCATCGTACCCCTCGCTCAATGACTGCAGGAACACCCATGCTTCAGAATTTATCTTCTAAATTTCAAAGTTCTGTATGAAATGTACAAAATTCCCCTCAACCATTGTGAACCCCATCGATATAAAATGCTTTGGTGAGGAGCACTTGTAGTACCATAAACATATATATTGTTTTATATTTGTATCAAATCTATTCTATATGACTTGTATGAATACAATCAATATTGTCATTAACCAATACGAATTTAAGTCAAGTGCCACCGTACGCCGAGAGCAGTTTTTAGCCTCGGTTCAGTTCATTTCAGTCCAAACTTGGGCCGGGGGCTCGGAGCGGGCCCGGGCGGCCACGTGTCATTGAAGCCACCGCCGCGCCCGGGCCACCGTCAGCGGCCCCGCCCGGCTCTGGATCAATCTCACTCTACAGTGTCGAACTGGTGACTCCGAGTCGTCACGACCATCCGATGATGGCAGTGAGTTTCAAGTCTGAGCCCTGGCAGTCGGGACGCTGAGCCTCCGCGGCTTTACCAGTATACTTGAACAAAAAATTCCGACAGCAACACGCCCGTGCGCCCAGCAAGTCAGAAAGTTTGACGAACAGCCTTATGCCTGCTCAGTGGTGCCGGATGGAAGGCTGATTGATCCGCATCATTTGCCTGTGCGAGCCAGTTGGCTGCTTCCTGTCTTGTTCTTTGATCCAGTAGAGAGGTAGTTGTGCTGGGATCGAGGCACATTCGTGCGAGTCAACTTGGCGATGTTGGAGTTGGTGTGCTGAGTCATCTTGTGACAGGTGCGAACCTGAAGAACGTGAGGTCGGATCATGGCAGAAACACATGGACGCCTCCCCGTACCGAGTCCTGCATGGTTTGTATGGAATCATTCAGCGCCTGCTGCATCGTGTCTCTCTCTCTCTGCTCGACTCGTCAGTTCTCGTTCTCAAAACATTCAGGAGGATGTGCAGACCTTGCAGTTGGCCTGATGTACTTTGATCAAGTCGACTTTCGCTTGTTTCTCCGCCAGCTCTCCTTCGATTCTTGCAACCTCTGCTACATCAGCTTCTATCTGATCTCCACAATTTTTCCTTCGCTGCCGAAGAAACGCTATGAGGCTGTCCAGCCCCGTCATTGCTATCTTGGCGACATCCAGCGCCTGCGCCTTCTGCTTCAAAGAGGGGCTAACGAGTCGATTGAAGGATTCCCTGTCGTAGGGCACATACTCGTTGAGGAGATTCGTCAACGAGTCTTTCTTTGGAACAGCTTGCTTGTCTTCATACCCGAACTCGTTCTGAGGTTTCTTCGCGCCTTTCGTTGCTGGGCTCCTTTGGGCGGCCATGTCTGCAGATACAGTAAGAGCAGGAAACGAAATTGACGACAAGAAAAAAGCCAGGCTGCAGAATGCTAGGATATAAGAAAGATAAAGAATTTGCGATGAGGTCGAAGTTGGAGGAGGCCAAGGAGGTCTTAGCAAGGCAAGTAGATGGCAAGAAAGGGTGAGAAATAAGTGCTGCATGAAATGGACAACTGGAACGAAATGAGGAGGAAGGCGGCGCGAGGACAACAATATGTTGCGATGAGGTTGCAGGACTGAGGAGAGGGAACAGACAAGGCGTGCGGTGCTGATGGAGGTGTGTGGGCGGCTGTGACTCATGCGAGCAGCGAGCAACAGCAGCTGTGGGGCGGCGGCAGCATGGTTTGAAGGGTGAGGAGGGCCTAACAGAATTACTCAACAACAGCAACGGATGTGGATGGGGAGGTTTGCGATGAGGGCAGACGGTCTTGGTAGCCAGAGCTCCCGTGAGACAGGGAGGAAGGGAGAGGGAGGGAGGGAGGGAGAGGGAGGGAGGAAGGGAGGGAGGGAGGGAGAGCTGCAGGAGTAAGGTTAGATGTGAGGGGAGATGATACAAGACGGAAGCTGTCGAGACAAGCTCGGATAGACGGAGGGGGATCGGAGAGAGAGCGCTGCAAGAAGTATCAGGCCATTGGGAGTAGCTTACACATCCAGAGGAAGTGCGCTCACATTGATATCGCAGATGATCAACCCTCAGACTCGTCGAGCAGAGAAAAGAAATGATCGGACGGTGATATGGTTGTGTCTATGAACCCAACAGAAGAGTAGCTCAGGACGGCACCTCTCGTTCTGTTGTCATCGAGTCCCTCCTAATGAAGTCACGAGGAGTTTGCGTTCTTGTTCTGCTAATCGCCACATGGATAGCGTCAGTGTGCTGCTCTTGTTGGCAGCCTACAAGAATCGTGCAGGCGATGTGCTCTTCTGCTGAGAACAACACTTTTCCCACGTATCAACTGCTTCAGCAGCAGTACTCGGGGGCGAGACGATTGCTGTGGCAAGGAGGAGGACCCGCAAGTGAAGACGTGAGATGTTTCCCCCTCAAGCTCTTGCTCATGAGATGCTTCAGATTCCAGATCACATCCTATCAGAACAAGCAAGATTTCGTGGAGACGGTGGGACCATTCTCACCTACAAGGGGCAAAGCATACCTCAACGTAAGGAAGCATGTATCCTTGCGTTCTTGGTTCACTGTGATTCATATCAGCCGGATCACCTGACTGGGACCTGATCTTTGCAACTGAAATTCAGCTGAGGTTTATGCGATTCAATGAGGTGGGGCAATGTCACCTCTTACTGGTCTTGAACAAGAATGTGAATTTCTGCAGGGACAAGCGGCGCAAGGGCATACAACCATTTACGGGTATGAGGATATGTGGTTTCAAAATCTGTGAGATGTCTTTCAGTAAATGAGACAACAGATATTGCTGAGAAGTGTTGAACAGGTTGAAGTGTACGAGTAATCCCGAAGAACAAGTCTGCGATTACTGCGGGATGTCGTGTGACGACACGACGTGGCAGAGCAGCGGATATTCTCTCTTGAACGGAACGGAACTTGTGATAGACAATCTGATCTGGAGTGAGAGCTTACACGTGCGTTGGACGATCTTGACTGGATTTTGCAGTGACGCATAACGTCTACATCTCTCAGACAACGATTTTGCCGTACAGTTTTTGCACGCAATACGATTGGTGGATTTGCGCAAGACGTCTGCCCACCAATGTGATGGCATGATTTCCTAAATGTTGATGGCTAATCATCCTGTTTTACAGTTTGACAGCATAGGTTGAAAGATGGCAAGCGTGTACTCCAACCCGACTCTTATTCCTTGATGAATGAAACTCAACTTAGTCTGAAGACCATGCATCCGATTCCGAGTCGTTGGAAGAAGAGTCTCTCATGTTCTTCATCTTGGCCAGACCAGCTCCAACAAGTGCTGCAAGGAAGCATGTGACTGTCTCATACCTCACTCCAAGAATCTCTTTACCTAGGTTCATGTTCACGTTCTGAGCTTGCTCTGGCTTCTTCTCCTCATAGCTCACAGCCACCTACAGGAAGTTGAGAACAAGAAGCTTACACAGCATGCAGAGACAACCTTCTTGAGCATCCGCAGCTGCTTCTCCAGCGCCGCTTTCTCCAACACAGCCTGCACGTGCACACGCTCGGCTTTGGGCTTCATACTTTGTCCCAAATCTTCCTTCCCTCCTCCCTCGGAAAAGCCGGGGGGAGGAGGGGGCGGCGGAGGAGGGGGCGGCCCACCAACAATACCCGTTCCTGTACCAGGGGGAGGGGGAGGGGGAGGGGGCGGCGGAGGCGCACCACCATTTGCACCCATGCCGGGGGGAGGTGGGGGAGGGGGAGGGGGAGGAATTCCTGTAGCCACAGGTGCAGTGGTTGGTGGAGGGGGAGGGAGAGGAGCAGAAGCAGGTTGAAGAACAGGAGGAACCATGGCGGGGGCAGGCAATTGCTTTTCAGCATCATGTGCAGTCATGGACGATGTTGGAGGAGAGACAACGGAATCTGGTCTTTGAGGTTTTAGCTGGTCCGGTTGCTCGGATGGATTCCGGCTGGCAGGAGATGCTGAACTCCGCTCCTCAACCACAGCTGCTAACACTGCAGGAAACTTCTGTAAACGATACAAGGCAAGAGAGCACCGATACCTTCATGATGAGATGATGGAAATTGGACTGGGACGTCCATGTAGGAGACAGGACGACTTTGAGCCTCTGCTAGAATGCGTCAGAGATGACAAGAACTGAGAAGCTTTCTTCATAGACGCTCTCACCAGACCCTCCAGAAGATGTGCTCGCTACAGTAGACGCTGAGCTTTGAGTATCCTGAGGATGATGCTGCGAGTGACCGTATGTGCTTGCTCTTTCCTGCCATTCAATAGGGAAAAATCAGAAAATGTTAGAATTTCGACATTCGGATCTGATAAAAGAGCATCATCACTTGAGCGGGCAGAATCATCTTCTGTTCCGAACGAGCGTATGACGAAGCCAACGATGGATTGACATTGAAAATGCTGGGGATTTTTCACTGTCAGCGCATGGAGTGTACCGTACAGTCGTAGAGGGAATAGATGGTTTCACCTCAAATTGCAAAGATTTTGGCTGGCAGCAGCATCTACTTCATACTTGATGTCTTTGTGCTTGGTTGCCATCACTGGCAGGCCTGCAAGAAATGAATCATGAACTTGACAACCTCTCAACGATGCGGCTCCACCTGTTTGAGTTCTGATGAGGTCCCGGCAGTCGTCCATGACCACGAATCGTTTCTTCTTGATTTCCTGGACGTTGGCCGCCACCTTGGATCGTTCATTCTCCTTCTGCTTCTTCATCTGCGGGTCCCGAAAGCTCAGAGTTGGCGCCGCAGGTTCACACATGTACCATCTCCTTTGCCTCCTTGTGATGTTGCTTCCTTGCAGTCTGCAACTCCATCTCTTCCTTTGCAATCTCGCGTTCCCATTCTCTCTTGAAGAATTGCGGATCCGAGTATGCTTCTTGATTCTCAACCTGAGGCTCTTGACGGCATCCATCCAACCTGCCCTGTATCCCCTGAGCCCACGCTGGAACACTGCGATCTTCGTCATAGAGGCTTGGCCAGGCTGTCATGGGGAGTTCGACAGGTTTATCTGGCAGTTCTGACCCATGCTCAATGACTGCAGGCAAGGTAAACACAGTGAGCGAAGAAGACACGAACCATACTCAACAGGTTTACCAAAGTTCAACGAGTCTTGCGCAGGGGAGAAGGTCTTGAGGTCTTCCTCGAGGAAGCCGACAGCCTGCTCTGCAGATCTAACTCGGCCTTCAAGGCTCATGATGCGACTCTGAGAAACATCGGCGCAATCGAGGATGTCCTGGAAGATGGCTGTTGTGGACCTCGTGAATTGTTCAAGTTGCCGCAGCAGCGCAACGGTGGAAGCAACGGTGGATACCCGTGGGTATCGACGACTCTGCTCCTCGTCTTGCATTATCGGAGCAAAAACCTCGCTTTCCGATACAATGGAAGAGGCTGATTCCACCATTTCCCGTTGCAGCATTCTCGCTCTGGTGAACAAGGGCCCCGCGTTTAGCTAGACTTTGTCGTCGATCTTTATCCAACGCAGCCACTCTTGAGCTAAATCTTGCTTGCCTCTTCCTTTCTTCACCACCTCCACGTCCTCCTCTTCTTCTCTTTCCCCCTCTCCTCTCCTCTCCTCTTTTCTTTCCCCGTTGCCTTTTCCTCCCGAAAGCGCTTCCGCTACACCCGCCGCATGGCAGCAGGCAAAAGTTCTTGAGGTGGAACTTAGTGGCTGTTCTGTATGAGGAACATTTATCAAAATGGACGACCCTACCCCACCCAAATTCTCTTTTACTGCAACTGTACCAGACTTTTGCAGGGGTGGTCGCCAAATTCCAAAAATGGCAGGGTGGGTTACAGAATAATTGATAGGGGTGGAGGTACTATTCATGGTAGGATATCTGGTGTAGTATCGGTAGTAGGGCCATTTCTTCAGTACGGTGGGTAGGCTTCGGAATTCTATCTCGTGGGTGGGTGGTCGGTCCTGGATTTCAGAGAGGGGGTGGGGGTGGATGGGATTGTGAAAGGGCAGCATGGTTGGGGGAAGCAGGAGTATGGTGCTCATGGTGGTGATGATGCTCGTAGCGAGCGCAAGCTGCGTGTCCATTCACAAGATTGGCACGGTGAAGGAGACTGGCACGGTGAAGGAGTCCGACAAAGTAGCTCGCGGTGATGTGAACGAGTACTTCGCTGAGGAAACGAACAAGGAGATCGTGAAGACTATGGAGGATTTCAAGGCAGGCCATGACTGGGATGTTGGATCGCTCCCTTGTGAGACTGGCCCTGTCCACTTCCAACTGGCATGTAAGTCAGTCAGCTTTGCCAGAAGAAACCGTGGCAGGACCGTACCATTCAGGGTCAAGAATGGCCAGGTGAAGAAAGACTCTCAGTTGTTCTCAGAGAAGTTCCGCCCTGAGGAGTCCCGCCACTTCAACGTGGCAGCATCATCCTCGTTTCAAGCACAGACCTCCATGACCTTCGACCTCCATTACGCTGACGGCAGCCACTTGCGCGGCTTTGGAGGCAAGGATGTAGTGCAACTCGGTGATTACGATGCCAACGCCCCTTTCGGGGTTATCACCGATTGTAACAGCCCGGATTTCAACGGCGTTGACGGGATTCTTGGGTTCGGTCTACCACGTGCTAACAACAACATGCCTTACCCCATCCTGTTCTCCATCACAGAACAGAACACAGACCTTCTCAGAAAGTTCACGTTCTTCTCAACGGACGATGCTGCCGAGGTCCAGCTTGGAGGGTACGATCCTTCCAGTACGGCTGGCACAATGTGGTATGTTCCAGCCATGGCGAAAGATGATTTCATTGTGGGGACGACATCCTTGAAGTTCGGTGACAACCTCAACAGCGCAGTCGAACTGCTGAAGTTCAAGAGCACTGCACAGCAGAAGGTCGGTATGCCATCGATCTTGGATTCTGGCACTTCCTGCCTCGTCATTCCAGGGGACCGCGGCGGCGGCGTGCTCACCAACATTCCTTGGGATGACTTTGCCAAGAACTGGAAGAGGGGGCGATCCTTCTGGTTGGAGATTGGACAGAAGACCTGGGAGATCCCGTTCTCGTCGTGGTACCTGGCGGATACTGAGCAGACTTGCGTCCAGCCCTCTCCGGAGGGCATGCAGGGTCTGTTGATCGGCGACGTCTTCTTCCGGGAATATATCGTCGAGTTTGACATGACTGAATCCCGTCCTATTCTGGGTATCGCTCCCTTGAACAAGCATTACAGCCTGGTGAACAAGAACACGCTTGAGTCCCTTGAGGTGGACGTTGCTCCCAAGAGCAAGCTGTCCCTTATCAAGGGCGCGCAAGTGATGTACCCTGCTGAACATGAGGCAAAGTTGGCCAACGTCGACAGGATTCCTATCGAGAACAGCATGGGAACTCAGTATTTTATGGATTTGAAGATTGGCACACCCAAACAAACCTTCACTGTAATCTTCGACACTGGTTCAACTGTCTTCGGAGTATTTACATGGAAGAATAATTTGCCGAAGGACATCAAGGACAAGCTTCCAAGCTACTACTTCTCCCAGAATCTTTACGGTTTGGAGCAAGTCAAGGTTTCCTCGAGCTCCAATTATTCCAGCATTTTTTCTGTCAAGGGTGTCTTCATCCTGGCCTGTGTAAACATAGCACTGCTTGCATCGATCAATGTTCTGCTCCGCAGGTTTGAACTTACTTTGGTTCCTTGTTTTCTGACCTCCTGACTTCTCCCAGGCATCGCCGACGGTCGTACCAGGCAACGGCGAGCGAAACAAGTCCACTGATCTAGATTTGAAGGCTTCTGTGTCGTTCATTGATAAAGACAACATTTGGGGATGATTATGATGATGGTGCACGAATCAGGTACCGTAAAGATGGTGGTACTCGTAATTTGTGTAGCACAGGAGTGCAGATGAGAAGGACTTGTTAAGATGAGGAGTTGGCATCAGATCAGTTTCCACCTCTGATTGAGAGAGCAAGCTCTGCTGTGTTTGCTTTACTATGTGAATCGTCACCAACTAATTCTCATGACGACTTGTTGGAATGGTAACGACGAACATCGAGAGGGGCAGCCTTGGTCTACGCACAGAAACAGTGAGTGCCGCACTCCTACTGAATTTTGATGATGAATCACCATTGCATCGGCGCGATCGTACTTGGTAGCTCCTGCCTTGAACTCGTTTGTACCGGGGGCACTGGAACAGAGTCATTTACCAACCAGGTTGTGACACTAAGACGTCATGCATGCAGTCTCCTTGCGCGGCAATCTCATCTACACCATCAACTTACCGATACATCCATCCATCCGCTCGCCTCCTGGCCTGCTTGGCAGTATCATCATCCTAGATGACGTGTCAGCATTCGTGGGACAAACACGCTCCATCTGTTGCCTTGATACAACCAGCTCCATCCGTGGCAGGAAAGCCGAAGGTGCGCTTGAAGGTCTAACATAGGATCACGACAATCAACCCCGATCTTGAGCAGGTGCATTCTAACCTTTCGGGATTCGCAGACCATGCTCATACCACTAAGAGCATTCTTGGGGGTTTGGCGAAGGCCTTAGGAACGGGTGGTTAAATTTCGACGAACCCACACAAGGACAAAAAACTGGAAGGAGAAACAGACACAAGAGGAAAACAAGAGTAGATACACTCGCTTGTAGGCGAGGAAGGCAGGACGATTGATCCATGTTTCAGACACAATCACATACATACACAGATGAATCAGTTATCCACAAGTAGCAAACGACAATCAAACGTTTCCCCACCCAACGTTTCCACCCTCTGGGGGCTGCATAACACAGGCGAGCAGACAAAACGCCAACGGAAAGACATGCATGCCATGAGGCAAGGGAACTTGAAGTAGAACTCTTGTACCACCTGGGGATGGGGTGGGCGCGAAGGCGGAGGCAGCGGCAACAAGAGCACAGCCAAGGATGAAGCGCATGCTGGCGTCCTTTCAATCTCCCAACTTTCTCGGCGGGTGTGATGTGAATATAGACCATTGCATGAATTTTAAAGACTAAAGCGAAATAATTCTATTATTTTTCAAAAACACAAACAAAAAATACAAAAAATACAACCTAATTATTGCCCTTGCGGAAAGCGAAGGGGGTGGGGGCCGGGGAGGGGGGGCAGGAGAGGCCGATCCCCTATGTGAGGCAGAAGGAAAAAGAGGCAGGTAGGGAGGGGTGGTGGCAGGCAAAAAGAAGGCGCACACTTTGGTTGCAGAAGCCATATTCAGCTTCTGGGCTCGCCGTGGATCGAACACAGGACCTTTAGATCTTCAGTCTAACGCGCTCCCAACTGCGCCACAAACCCTTGCGCCTTGCATATGAGGTCACGAGCAAGGTTTATATACAGTGGATAGCCCGCAGCCGCTGACTCACGAGTCAGCCAGTCACGTGGCCCCCCGGCGACCGTTTAGCCGCCCCGTCACTGTCCGGCCCGGCCCGAGACTCTCCGATTACTGCGCCGTGACCGTAGCTGCCGACAGTCACTGAGTGTCAGGACGGTTAAGCCTCCTCGGAGGCTCTACACCTGATTGTCCTCTAGCAATGATTCGAACACCGGCGTAGATCAACTGGATGATGGCTCAGAGTCCCGGAGTCCGGTGGAAACCGAGTTTGTTTTTTGTAAGGTTTTTTTTCCTGACTTTCTTTCTTTTACAAGGACGGTTTACAGGAGAACGTCGTGGAGTTCTTGGCACGGCAGCATGGCGGCAATTCCTTCGGGGAGGGGGAGCGCAGCGTGGTTGATGTGCGCCTGGGCTCTCACGTGCTCATGGTCCAGCAAGACAGCCTCTGCATTCTGCCTCCGATCGCATCAACCGTTTCTCCGTCCAACGAGGACACATGGCTCGCAAGGGTGTAGTTCAAGGGTGGCATTCGGGACCTTTGGCGCACATTCACGCAGGACGAGGGCGGACATGAGATGGATAGCGAGTGTCGCAGGATCGTCGAAGAAGACAGCCATCGTCACCAACGACAACCACAAGAGGCACAATGGCTTCATGCATCCTGAATGCCCACAGAGGGTGGATCGCATGTGGGAGGAGATGCGCAAACAGGGGATCGCTGACTCGTGCACGGTCCTCGAGAATCGTCTTGCTGAGGACAAGGAGATCGAGCTGGTGCACGATAAGAATTATGTGGAATCCATCCTGTCAGGGAGCCCAGAGATCGATGGTAGCACTTACTTCCATAAGAAGGACTCGGCCTCTGCGAATGCGGCCAGGTCGGCTGCTGGCGCCGTGATCGATGCGGTGGAGGCTGTGTGCAAAGGAGAGGCGAGGAACAGCTTCTGTGCTGTCAGGCCACCGGGACATCATGCTGAGAGGGATCGCATGATGGGATTCTGCATATTCAACAGGTGAAACTGCTTGACTCCACTCTTATCGATCGTTGCTTGAGATGGCGATAACTTTATAGCTGACTGCTTTGATTGGCAGCGTCGCCATCGCTGCGGAGAAGGCGAAGAAAGATTGGGGCTGCAACAAGGTGTTGATCTTCGACTGGGACGTGCACCATGGTAATGGAATCCAACACATCTTCTACGAGGACCCCAGCGTCCTTTATATCTCCATCCACCGAGGAGGTATGGATAAGTCTTTCTTCTACCCCACCACGGGCACAGCAGGGGAGGTTGGCAGGGGAGAAGGGAGAGGGTTCAACGTTAACATTCCGGTGGAGTTTCCTGGGGTCGGAGATCCCGTCTACTCCGTCGCCATGGAGCGGATCGTTCTACCCATCGCTCATGCCTTCAAGGTGATCCTTCACCTCTCCCCTGCCGTTGGATGACTCGTTGTGCCTTCAGCCGGACATCGTCATCGTCAGCGCCGGGTATGACGCTGCCGGTGGCGACCCCCTCGGCGGGATGAACGTCAGCCCGGCCATGTTCCGGAAGATGACGAAGCAGATGATGGAAGTGGCCAACCAGCATTGCGATGGCAAGATCGTGTTGGCGCTGGAGGTGCCCTCCTGCTGCAACCCCCCTCCCCCTCGCCATTGTGGCCACTCACACCGTGCGCGCAGGGAGGCTACGATGTCGATGTCACTGCGGACTGTGCGGTTGAATGCCTCAAGGTGAATGAGTTGGCTTTCTGTTTGATCGCAGACTGAGCCACATGTGCAGGAGCTTGTCGGATTGGATGACGAGGTGAAGGAGGAAGAAGACATTGCCCTGAGCCCGTGGGCTGCTGCGGAGTTGCAGTGGGTGAAACCGTCGATGGATAGAGTCATCGAGATTCAGTCAGAGTTCTGGCCGCAGCTGAAGCAGGAATCTGCCAAGTGATTCAGCGCAGACCAGGGACCTTTGGGAGAGAAGGGTTCCTGAAAGTTTTTTCCATGCTGCTCTCTTTGCTCGATGTTGTGAAATCAACGGATTTCTTGGAATAAAGAGTTTTTCTGTACCGAACAGAGACTTTCAACTGGGGCCGACAGTCTTCATGGTCTCGAATCTTGACGATGCCTCCTCTCCTCTCCCCTCCTCTCCCCTCCTCTCCCCTCCTCTCCCCTCCTCTCCCCTCCTCTCCCCTCCCCTCCGTTCCTCCCCTCCTCTCCTCGATCCTCTTCGCTCCTGACGTCCTCTCCCTCTATCTCGCCCATCGCCCCGACATAATTCATTTTTCCGTCAGGTCCGAACATTCTAGCGGAATATGCCGAACGATGAAAACTATTCGGAAGTGGGTAGGGGGTACATGAGTACCCCACCATACATAAAGATAATTGTCTAGTCACTAGGGGTAATTTACTCCAAGGTGGGGTGGGTGCAAAGGTTATTATGCGGTGCATCTTTCATGGGACGAGGAAAGGCGGGGGAGAGGAGGGAGGAGGGAGAGGGAAGGAGGGAGGGAGCGGGAAGATCAGACAGAAGAAGAGGTGCAATGGGATGAGATTGCGATGCGTTTGAGTTGGAAGAAGTTGGAGAGGGAGGATAGATCTCTGAGTAAGGCGAACAGACAGAGGGCACCTTACGAGAGAGTGAAAATGCCATGGAGGAAGCTCGACAGTGATTAAGGCACAAGGCACTCAGTAACTTCGAGGAGGGAGATAGAAAGAAGGAATCTGGTAGGAGAGATAGAGAGATGGCAATCATCCCAGAGTGTACTTGTTCGACGCAGCAAAGCAAACTCACTGTAACGAGAAGAGTTGGCTTGTAAAGGAAAAGGCACATAGCTATGAACAATAGTATTGCTTATCATGCGGATCCGCTTTCAATATGAAGTATTTTCACAGCCATGATATGAAACATTGATTGAGAATAGATGAGAAATGATATGCATCAAACATCGTTGTTGACCCGATTCGCAGGCCATGTTGTTGATTCGTGCCAGGGTCTCATGACTTTGTGATTTTTCTGAGCCAACCTTGGGGAATTTTGCTGATCGAGTCATCACTTGAAAAGATGGAGATCGAACAGTTCGAGGACTTGCTCAAGACGATGGTTGATCTTGAAAAACAAGAGCAGGAACGGCAACAGGCAAGGCAGATCGTTGAGAACATTCTCGATTGCGTCTTGCAAACGAACGTTTCTCATGAGCAGAGAAAGAAAGCTGAGGAGTGTGTAAACAATCTGGCGAATCCAGTGAATCTGAACATTACAAATGATGCTATTCTCGCTCAATCTCTGTCCGACAACTTCACCAGAAAGCAAATCGCCATTCAGAAACGCCTTGCACAACTGCAATACATTCTTGATAACTCGACGTCTCACTATGCTCAGGCTGTTGCTTGCAACAGTTTGTCGCTGCTTGTCACAAACAATTGGAATGAGAAGATGATTCCCTACACAGAAATTAAGAATTATGCTCTCAGTTTCTTGTTCACGCACGCCACAGACCCGAACTGCCCACCTTTCGTGAAGCAAGGGATGGTCAGGCTGCTCTCGAGGGTTGCTAGGTTGTGCCGAGTGAGCAATGGGCCTGACTGTGCGATCATGAATGATCTGAGCAAGATGTTTGAGACGTCGGTGGAACATTTCATCCTGGGGATGCGAATATTGCTGGATTACGTAGAGGAAATTGTCGCAAAGGCTGGAGAGGTTTCTTTCTTGCACCGGAGGATGTTCTTTTATTCCGATTTGACGACCATCTTGAAGTTTGCTCTGGAATCTGTTCGCAAGTACTTCTCGAACATGAGCTCAGAAAACGATAAGTTGCTCCTGGACTCTGCTCTAGAACTTACCGTCCGCTGCCTGACTAGTCCGGATGCAGACAGGACGTACGACAAGGACGAGATGGATCTCGGCCGGGGGCTGATCCTTGCCAAGTGGAGCCCCTTCATCACTCAGATGGAGCTGATCGACATGTTCATCGTCATGTACGGCTCGCTGGATGCTCCGATCTCGACGCGGGCCCTGACGATATTGCTCTTCATCTCATCGCTGAGACCCGGCATGTACCGATCTATCGCAGACTTCCAGAATGCCACCAAGAGGATCATCATGGGGATCGGGCAGATTCTCAAGAACAGGAAGGAGCTCGACAACCCCAACAACCTCGACATCTTCTGCAGGTTCTTGAGCGAGTTCGGACAAGTCTGTATCATCTGGAAGTACATCCCGAAGAACGAGTGTAACGAGTTCATCGAGATGGCATCATCGCTGACCCTCGCAATCTTGCGGGAGCTGGAGCCCCCTCCCAACAGCGTCTACCACCTTCTCCACTTCTGGTGTAGGCTGGCCGTGTCCGAGATGGGGCGAGGGAGGAGCTCGCCGCGATCTCCCGATCTTCAGATCGTGCACGAGGAGATTGAAGAGGCGGACGATAACCTCGGGGACCTCTACGATGTGCTAGAGCGAACTCTGCCCGCCATCGTCTACACGTACATCACTGGGAGGATCGAGTGCATTCAAGCTGCTGCATCTGGTGGCGCTGACAACCCCTTGGAGGACATCGACTCGCTGGAAAACCAGCTGGAGCTGATCCCGATCCTTTGCACCATCCGGTACGAGAAGATCGGAGGGCAGCTGTTCGAAATGATCGACCACTTCTACAACGTCTACGAGGCCGCCTTTAGCAGCTCCAACCAGGTGCAGCTGGAAGTGCTGGAGATGCAGATTGCATGGATGATCCGGTTGTGTTCTGCCATCGTGGGAGGCCACTACACGGTGAGGGCAGGGAGCTTCCGCTCCTTCGACATCAACCCCATTATCGAGACGACGCTGCAGGAGGGAGAGGAGCTGGTGGACGCAGAGCTGATAGGAAAGGTCTTCAGGCTGATGATGCTGATCCAGAGAAGAATCTCAGTCTCCAACACCCAGGACAAGTGCGACTACAGGCTGGAGCTTGCCGTCCTCACTTTCCTGGAGAAGCTCAAGCTGGGCCTCCTGTATGTGGACAGGACCCTTGCAGAGCAGAAAGAGGACACAGGGCAGATCCCGGAGTACCTGCCCTCGTTCCTCCGACGGCTGGTGATCAGGCGACCGAAACCCATCCTGACGCAAGACATGCACATTGAAATCTTCAAACGGATCGGTTTCAACGATCACATGGAGGTGATCAACATGATGCTGGGGAAGCTGCTGGAGAACCTACAGGTCTGGGGCCACAACTCGATGGTGGTCAAGGAGACCCTCCACCTGCTGGGGATCATCATCCACGGTACATCAGGGGAGGGAACATTGTCAATGCTGCTGGAGATTGAGACGATCAAGGGTCTGATGAAGAATCACGCAGCTGTATCGTCCTCATTCCTCAACTATCCCGCTAACGCAAAGAATCGCACCAATTACTACCTGACCATCACGCAGCTCTTCTTGCTGGAGGAGGACGACGCAGAGGCGTCTGGATCTTTTGAGACGTTTCTTGAGCCCACCATCACGACGCTGGTTCAGCTCAAGAACACGGCGAACTTGCGGACGGACGAGGCTCGCTTCGCCATCATCGGGGTCGCTAGGGATCTTCGAGGGATCGCATGCGCAACGGACGGGAAACTCTTCCACGTGCTGTTTGACATGATGTTCCCTGCCTGTCAAAACGTGTTCGCTCGCTGCCTCGAATGCTGGGCGGACGATCCAGCCGTCTGCATCGCTGTCCTCAAGATGTGGATGGAGATCGCTTCCAATGCCAGAAATCGCATCTCCTTCGATGCCGGAATCCCCGCCGGCCTCGTCATCTTCAAGGAGCTGGCCATGACCATCATCGTCTACTGCCGCTACCTGCTGTCCAAGGGCCCCAACTCTGGCGGCATGGACCCCTACAACAACCGTTACAAGTGCATCGGAATCTGTATGCTGAGCATGACGCTCGCACTCTCCGGGGAGTACGTTGGATTTGGCGCCTTCTCCATGTACGGGGACAGCGTGGTGGAAGACGTGTTCAAGCTGATTGTCCAAGTGGGCCTGTCGATGCCGCAGAACGACATCCTGGCCTACCACAAGGTCGCGATCTCCTTCTATTCCTGCATCGAGGCCATGTTCAAGCACGCCATTTCCATCGTGATCGGTCTGGAGACTGTAGAAGTCACGCAGATACTTCAGGTGGAGATGTCTTCCCTCCTGTGAATGTTGTCAACTTCTGGATCTCACGTTCCGCTGCAGATCGTGTACAACGGCTTGACAAACGCTCTGCACCCGAGCGTCCACGTCATGTGTGCTTCTACCATTGAGAGTTTCGCCATCTTCCTCTTCCGCACGAGCAAGAGACGCTCGTCCCTGGCGGTCAGGATGAGGCTCCATCTCGAGCAGGTGAGTGCATCCGACCCGCCCCGACCCCATGGTGAGACGAGCGATGGCTCAGGTACCCACCCTGCTCGGCGACTTGCAGCTGGTGCTGCTCAAGCAGGTGATCTTCAACGACGTGGTCGGGCTGGAGCTCTTGGCCTTCCCGCTCCTCTCACTCATCTTGGCTGCTGAGACAACTTTCACCGCTGTCACAAACGAGGTTTGTCGTTGTCCTTTCCTCTCCCTCTCCTCCTGCCACTCGCCCATTCAGTTCTATCTGGACCAGTCTCTCCCTGCTCCTGCCCCTCGTTACGATGCTTTCTCCCTTCCTCCTCTCCCCTCCTCATAGCAAGAAGTTGAATTTCCCTGACCCCTCTGCCAGTTTGTAGCGAGACAAAGTCAACAAGGAGGGCTCTGCCTGATGGAGGCGCTGAAGCTACTGATGCAAGGTAGAGGAGCGGGGGAGGGCGGGGAGCACGCAAATGACCGATGCCTTCGCAGATGTGAACAAGAACCTCGAAGGATTCAATCGAGGCAAGTTCATCAAGAACGTGGAGAGGTTCAGGGCGGAGCTGAAGGACGTAAGGGACGTCCTCGTGGTCTGACCGGCCACCACGACCACCGGGAGTCTACCCTCCCACCATGTACATAGCATAGGAGGACTCTCAATTTTTCATCTGGACCTCTGCAATCCGTTTTTTCCCTCTCGTCTTTTATGTGAACTTTGGCATTGGAACCAAGAGGCTTGTCGAGCTCTTGTACTGCTGGTACGACACGTCCTCCCCGTATTTCTGCATGCCGCTCGTCAGCCGGAGCGAGCAAGAGCCACCACCACACCTTGTCGTAGCTCGCCTCGAGGATGGGAATGCCTGACACCCGCAGCAGCAGGAACGTGATGAAGAGGGGAGAGACGATCGTCCACTTGGGGGCCAGCGGCAGGGAAGCCATGTAGAGCGACCACCACTGCATAGAGTTGCTCAGTCAGCAGCAACAGTACGCCTCACCGTGTCCTCTCCCTTCCCTTCCCCTCTCCTCCCGTGCCCTCTCCTCACCACGACAATCTCCCCGAAGTAGTTGGGATGCCTGCTGTAGTACCACAGTCCCTGGTCGCAGAACTTGTTCTTGTTCTCCGGCATCGCCTGCCCAGCATCACCCGTGAGGAGGGCAAGGGCGACATTACCTTGAAGGTGCTCTTCTGATGATCCGCAAAGACCTCGATCAAAAAGCCTACGAGGAAGGGGAGGAACCACAGCTTGCTCCCCTCCGTCGGCCTCTTGGCCGGGTTCACTCTGCACGCGGTGAGGATGGGCAGCATGGTGATAAGGGACCAGAGGGCCTGAGCTCAGGCGTTATCCTTCAAGACAAAGAATAAGGAAGGGAGGGGTTGGGGGGAAAGTAAGGTAGACGAGGATGGACTAGGAGCAGGAGCAGGAGCAGGAGCAGGAGCAGGAGCAGCAGGGGAATGGTGATATAGCACCTGGATGAACCAGAAACCAGCTAGTTTGATAGGAATCTCCCCAGGTTTGGGGAAGAAGGATGCTAGGCGTTTGTCTTCGGGCGAGCGGAGAATCCTAAGAAAGAGGAAGCCTCCGAGTCGGATAGACCAGAGAACGACGCAGGCGATGAGGAGCAGCTGCGTGTTGGAGGGAGGAGGGCGAGGACGCTGGGAGAGGTGAAGCAGACGCTGCAGCGCCATGACTGTGAAAGCGCCGCAGCCGCATATGTCAGTCAGCTTGTGCGTTCCAGTCCACCAGGTGAGGAGGAAGCCGACGAAGTTGAGCATCCCTCCCACGAGCCAGCCTGCCTCCTCGCCAGCCAGCCATCCCCCAATCCGCTCCATCCCTTGTCGCACTTCTGAACCGGATCATCCTTTGTATGTCCCCCGACCCAAGACAAACTCAGTGACCGGTGTCCACTTCGGCATCGGGCCGCCATCCCGGCATGCCGGCCCGCCAACGAATTCCACCCTAAAAATATCCATTCATGGCCTCAGCACCCACACCCCCGTGAATCGCCAGCAAAGTACCCCTACTAAGAGGACTTCCCTACATTGCGAAGCTGACCTCCGTACCCTACCCTTTCCCCAGGGTCACACCTTCCCACCCCAGATCAGTGTACCCCCCTGTTATCCATGTCATTTCAGTATTTAGCACCCGTACTTGGCTACACCTCTACTACCTGTAGTAGATGCACAACCACCCTACCTTCTAAAGCCGTTTGATCACCCCTACTCTCTACCGTGTCCCGTCCCTCTACCCCCTCCTCCCCCCCCTTTTTCATACCTCCAGTACCCCTCATCCAGGTGGATCCTTGTCATTACCAGAAACATTTACTACCCCACCATTCTGCTTGGTACCCCCCTTGTCATCATCTGACTACCCTACTAATCTCGGGGTACGTACCCCCTCGACTGACCAACACCTGCATCCTGCAGCTCTTGGAGTGCCTAGATCTGTACCGCATAACTCAAATTGCAACCACCGGTAGTCTTATCACCCCTACCCCAGGTTTACAGGAAAAATCTTAAACCACCCCCTTATTCATCAGCAATAATCAGTTGAACCAACCGAAGTTGAGAAACGATTCAGTAAACCCATCTCACCCCCTCATTATCCCCAAATTAGTACCGGTGATCATGAATTTTACTCCGAACACCCACCCCTGCATACTAAAATTAACCTGCACTACCCCCACAAAATCGAAGACCCCTCTCAGAATGACCCACCCTCGTCCACCTGTCCTGGCTAATCTGGGCAGAACCGCCGAAGCCATGGCGACCGTAGTTTCATCTCACATTCAGTTGCCAATGGCTGACAAGGCGCCACTCTCAACCCCCTCCTCCTCTCATGCCAACTTACCGCTTGTATCCTCTCCTGCTGCTACCTCATCGATGGTCTCATCCTCTGTGCGCAGCACTGTATCGTCACCCTTCACTAACGACCAGGCAACGACTCAAATTCCTTCCTTCCCTTCAGCGCGCGAGCGACTTCGGGCCGGCCTTCTTCAGAGGAAGGCGATGTCAGCGTCAGGTTCTCACATGCAAGCTGGCAGCGAGAGCGCAAGGCTTGGATCGGGATCTTTGGTGGAGAAAAGGAAGAGCACCTACCAGGAGATTATTGCTCCCTCTGCTAAGAAGCCGCGTGGGCATGAGAGTTGTAAGGAGGCGGAAACATGCAGTCCGTTGCCACAAAATACTTCAGGTCATGTTGTCGGTGACATGGAGAGCCCATGCAGTGTCGCAGATGCGGTGGGTTATCATGGTTTCACCGAGTACGATCAGGTGAACGCGTCCTCGGAACACGGTGGGGTCGATAGCGAGACGGACGGTCTTTCCCTCGCTGTCACGCCTGAGGCAGTCTACGACGTGTTGGAATCAGGAGAAGAGGATGGAGCTCCTTGGGATTTCGAGATCGGGACAGGAGACATTCAAAACCTGGACGATGGAAATTGTGGGTTGCAGGATTGTGGAGAGTGGGACATGAACTTGTATGAGATGCTTGATTCGAATGCAGACTAGGCAACTTCACCCTCGAGCTACTGACGAAGAAGTGCTCCTCTTGCGGAAAGTGAGGCTGGAAATTCCAGTCCGTCGCATCGAGGCATTTGCGAACTGGTTACTGTTGTGTTGTACGTGTGAAGCGGATCTTTCTCTGTCGAATTCAAGGTATAAATAAAATTCAAAAAAGATGAAACAGAGACAATCATGTTGAACTAGGTTTTGATGTATTTCTCCATGATCTTAACACACTCTGCCCTCTTGAACATTCTCGCCACGTCCAAAGGTGTTTCTCCATGACAGTTGGTTACAGTCGGGTCTGCTTGCAGTGAGAGCAGGTACTCACAGCACGAGATGTGCCCGTAGCAGGCTGCTAGATGAAGAGCCGTCCTCCTCTCCGCCATATCCTGCTGTGAGACAAACTCCCTGACAGAGGAGATTGTTTCTTGCGGACTTCTCCCATCCAACTGTTGTGTCTCAGTACCAGCCGAGAGGGGAGCAAACCTTGCCTTCAACTTGTCCCTCAGGCGTCCGATGACTAACTCCATGCATTCTTGCTTCCCCCACTGCGCTGCCTGCATCTGGCATCAGCAGATGCAGCAGAGCGCCTGGACTCACATGATGCATTGTCGTCCAACCCCCCCGTACTTCGAACAGGCATGCCGCTGGCAGCTCCTGCAGGACAGCGAGATGGCCAAACATGGACGCAAGGAAGCTTGCTGTGTTGCCTGCAGATCGATAGCTCAGGTGCTGTCAAGAAATGCTCTTGCCCTCTTCACCGTCGGCATCCGCGGCGTGTGGATCGGCCGATCTCTGTAGCAAGGATTTGACAACTGCAGCATGCCCGAATCTCGCCGCTCTTGGTGAGATAGAGGAGCAGGTCAGGCTAACAAGGAGGGGGCAGCCGGATGATGCTCTACCTCATCAGTGCAGTTCCATCTCGACTTCCTGCACCTGCCTCCACCTGTGCTGTCATGAGCAGCAGGTGATCACAAGCAAGCGTTAACCTGTGCTTTCCCTTCATTGCAGAGAAACTCTACGGCGTCGACCTTGCCGTAGCCCTGCTGTCGTCGTCATTTGTCGTCCACAGAGGGGCCTCGTCACCGCGGCGAACAGCAGCGGACGTCTCCCCCGCTTGTCAGGCTCATCGAGGGAAATGCCCTGGCGATGAGATTCCTGCGATGGATGGGAGGGAGGGTCAAAAGAGCATGGAAGTAGAACCGGTAAAAGAGGAATGGCAAGAGGGAGTGAGGAGGGGGAGTGCAAGTGCAAGACACGTGGGAAAGGTGGCGTGAGTCTCAAAGGAGCTTGTCTCAGCACCTTCAACTTAGCTAGATTCCCTTGCCAGCATGCCGAAGACAAAGCATTGACTTGGTTCAGCTTGGACAGCTGAGCAAACTTCGGCTCCTCCAACTCGCTGCAAGCCACCTCTCTTTCGGGCTCCGGTGGAATCACGATCTTTGCCAAGACGATGATGCACCGTTGCCAATGATCCTGCCAACATCGACTTCACCCAGCCAACACCAGGAGCGGAGGGGGGCAGCAGACCTGCTCATCGTTGCTTCCCATGCCATGGTCATCCACCGCCATCTCCTCCAGCTGCAAACCTTGGACGATGGTGAGCGCAACGTAGTGTGGGGATGGAGCAGGATACCGATCTCGAGCCGGTCGATGATGCTTGACACGAGCTTCTCAGCGCTCCCCGTGGAACTTTCCCACCACCACATCCTGGGTCGATCTTCATCGTCCGCTGCACTCCTCCCCCTCTCAAGTTACGCCAGTCGAGCTCCAGGCGCCATGGCCATTTCAGCCCATCGCAGTAGGCTACTCAAGATGCCAAAGTCGACCTCCTCATCCCCATAGTAGACCTGTCCTGCCCTCCTGCTCCTTATAAGCTCTTGGGGCCGTAGCAGGGCGGCAGCTGTACCTCCCATATGGAGGGTCGCAGACGATCGCGTCGAATTTCCCCACCCACGGGCATCGGCTGATGTCAGCGACGACATCAACAGCTCCGGTGCCTGTGAAACTTGAGCAAGACGGACAAACTTGCAAATGTCAAACTGACATTGAACGTCCGAACCCAAGGTGAACGATGCTCCCAAGTCCGTTGCAGCCTGAAGCAATGCCTGGTACAACGCATGTCACCATCCTCTTCCTCCTTCCCCTCTGTCTCACTGCCGGCCTGACTGTGTCTCTCTTTATCAATCTCCATGCATCTCTGCCTTTCATCTTACCCCACTTCCCGCAAACGGGTCACAAACAAGCTTCCCCGGGCACACCCGCGCGCAGTTGGCGGTCAGCCAGGACCGGATGGCGTCCATTCTCGTAGGAGCTGCACGGAGATAGAGGTACTGAGGTTACTCGTTCGGCACTTGCGCTTGCATGTTCCGACCTGTCTGCTCAGCTACAGCCGAGTCGGGCTTGCCGACAGAGGAAAACGACCTGTAAGCATCCAATTGAGCAAGGAGCAGGAGAATGGACAGGAAACAGCTGGATGGGCCTGACGGGGGGAGGGATACCATTCTTTGATCGCTCGAGCTGCTAACTTGTTCCCTCCGATCGCAAAGAGCCTGCCATGAGTGCATGGGACAGTTTTCTCGATCGCTATAAGGGCCGTCAGCTTGGACCGAGCATCCCTCCATGCTCACCGTTCATGCCGCCCGCAACTCCTCGCATGTCAGCCAGTACATGCATCTCCCCAACCTCCCAGTCGCCATTGCTCGCATCGCCTACATCTTTGATGTTGTCTTCCGACTGCCAGAACTGTTTGCTCCAAGCTCTCATCTGAAGGAGCGACACTCGTCGGCCTATCAGCTGGAAGATGCGAGGGGGGGAGCAGAGTGCAATGCCAACAAGTCCGTTCCCCGATGTTGTCTGTCAGACAGCAACTTAAAGACTTCAGCATGCTCCTGACGATGCTAACCTCTGTGTACGCACTCCGAACGAGCACACATCGCGCCAGGACGGATCGAACAACAGAGAAGAAATGCGCCTGAGATGAGGAGGAGGAGGAGGAGGAGGTCAATCTGTACTTGCCAATCACTGAATCAGGATCCAAGATGAGCAAACGACCTGCAGCGGACGAAGCATGTGTGAATCCGTTTCGAAGAGCTGTTTGCTGGGAAACCAATCATCCTCTTGACAAGTTGCGATCAGACAAAGAGATCCAAGGGTGGCGAAGGGGGAGCGAGCTAGTAAGGGCGGGAAGGAGGAAGGAGAAAGATGCTGTCCTGATTACCATCCTCTGGTCGGAAGTCGCAGAGCAAGATTCCTGCGAGAGAGGCGACGGACAACAGCTCGAGTGCAACGAGATCCTGGATGAAAGGAAGTTGAGGGGCGATGTTCTCCGCTTCCCTTCCTCTCTCCTCCTGCAATCCTTGCCATCTCCATCATCTCTGCTGCATTCTCCCTTCATGCTTCACCTCTCCCTCTTCTCCCTCCTCTCTCCTCTCCTCTCCTCTCCTCTCCCTCCTCCCTCCTCCCTCCTCTCCTCTCCTCTCCTCTCCTCTCCTCTCCTCTCCTCTCCTCTCCTCTCCTCTCCTC